AGGGCGAACATCGTCAGTGGCATGTGGATTTGTAGGGTGAAACGGCCACCGGCCGCCTGTCTTCAAGGCGCGTTACGTTGCACGAGGCTTTAGTCAGCGACATGGAGTTGACTTCTTCTAGACCTTCTCCCCTACCCCGAAGATGACCACTCTTCGGGTTCTGCTGCACGTCGCCGCTCAGCGTGACTGCGAGCTTCACTCTCTGAAATTCAGCACTGGTTTCCCTACAGGGCAGCCTGCACGAGGAGATCTGGCTGCGCCGCCCACCTGGCTTCACTGGGTCGTTTCCTGCTGGTACCCAGTGGAGCCTCCGGCGGCCAGTCTACGGTCCCCGCCAGGCGCCTCGCGAGTGGCACGACACACTGAGGACGACGCTTGCGGCTCTTGGGTTTGCTCCTTCGACTGCTAACCCGTCGCTGTTTCTACGCACCGACACTTCACTGCCGCTGCTCTACATCCTCGTGTACATCGACGACTTGGTCTTTGCCACTGCTGACACTGCTGGACTGGCCCACATGAAGTCGGAGCTGCAGAAGAGACACACGTGCACAGACCTGGGTGAGGTACGCAGCTATCTTGGCTTGCAGCTCACCCGGGACAGAGCACAGCGCACCATTACCTTGAGTCAGTCACACATGGTGCAGCAGGTCCTTCAGCTCTTCGACTTCCAGTACTCCTCGTCACGGTCCACTCCTCTGCCTACCGGTCGTTCGCTCTCAGCTCTGCCTTCGGATGAGTCCGTAGAGCCGAGTGGCCCGTATCCAGAGCTTGTGGGCTGCCTCACTGACCTTGCTTACCCTCTTAGCAAGCTGGCACGCTACGTTGCGCCTGGGAGACACCGACTAGAGCACTGGAAGGCCGCTGAGAGGGTGATGCGCTACTTGTGCAGTACGTCGAGCATGGGGCTCGTGCTCATGGTTTCGTGGCGGTCTACCCACTCGTCTTCTGTTCTCAGCTCCAGTTGTGAGGCTGAGATCTACGCATGGGGCATGGCTGCACAGGAGTTACGCTGGCTCACCTACCTGCTGACCGACTTGGGAGAGCCGCCTCGTTCTCCTCCAGTTCTGTATGTCGACAACAAGGCCAGGATTGCCTTGTGTCAAGAGCACAGACTGGAGCGCAGAATAAAGCACATCGCTCAGCGCTACATCCTTGCTCGAGAGTTGCAGCAGCGTGGTCAGCTTCGTCGTGTTTACGTGGTCTCTTAGGCCAACACTGCTGATATCTTCACCAAGGCACTTCAGCCTTGTGCCTACTTGGCCTCACTTGCTCACTTCTTGACTTTGCCTGTACTGTGAGCTATATACTTATACCTGCATGCTTACACTTGCTAGGTTATGATCAATGTACTGCTTGTTCTCCTTTATATATAACTCTGCATGTGAACTGGCCTTGTGGCCATTTGCTTGTGCTTAGAATGCGTGGTGACTTCGTAATCCACCCAGAGTTTGCTTTGCTTTTCTTGACTGGTCTTGTGACATTTTGTTGTCCCCCACTTTGCCTATGGGGTTGTGTCAAACTCATATGCTGTATATTGTGTAGGCAGTAGTGGGGTAGCCCATATGGGGTACAACCCAATTAGGGTTTCCTACTTGTACCCATCTTGCTGCTAGTTCATTCATTCCTGCTCATTAGTTTCTGACACACACATGAGTACTGACAATGGACACCGCGTCACTCCGTGTTTGCTTGCAACCTACCCGTTACTGTAGAGGCGATGCAACCTGATTGGTCGAAGCTACACTCACTGCAAGAACTTGCAGCGAAACCAGACAAGCCACTGCACTCGACTTTTGAGTTTACATCACAACTCCCACCCACCAGCGCCCAACTTAGTAATCTTGCACAATTGAGCTTGGTTGCACATATTGAGCTTCCTAAAGTACAATCAGGGTAAAATAAACATCTACACTGATGCCTCAGGGTAAAGTTTTCAAAACTTGAAGTTACAGTGATCCATCTGTGTTTCCAAAATGGGCACACTGCTCAGAAGGGTTTTGAAAATGACTACACTGCTAATCATGAGTAGGCAAAAACCAATCCTAAGCCCTGAGCACCGTCATCAGCTTTATAGGCATTAACTTGTGGCCCTCGCAAATGCTCCTGATGTGTGTCCCTGAACTCTATAATCATTTTTTGTACAGGTACCATGTCATGTTGTATAAAAATCATACCTAGATGTATTCATTTAGGCTAATGTGATACACGCATGACAAGGGCCTTTGCTCTTTAATATCGAGTACAACAATCTCCGTGACGTTCTTGACTAGGAGAATTCCACAACCATTTCAGAACACATTCGAAAGCAGCGTGTTTAGGTTAATCAGTTCGCCCCCCTTGCACAGTCCTAGAGAATCTCTGACTTGTTACTTCTTTGCCTATCAGCACTGGAGTGGCTGGATCTCTCAGGTTTTGAATTGACCAAAAAGGGTCTGAAGCTTCTTAGAAGGCTTCCTCGATTGAGGCAAGTTAAAGCGGATGTGGACAGCTTTCGGACTCTACTGAGTGCCATTCTTCCTGGAGTGACAGTGAGTGGTGATCTTCTGCCCGGCGAAGTTGCTGGTGATTGAGGTAGAAATCTGTCTTAACTCTCTACCAGTGTTTGGACTACGTCAGTTGGTTGGTAGTACCAACTAACCGGGTACGAAACAAGTGGGGATCAGGCCTAATTTTTTGTTTTCAGCAACCCTTGTGATCAGTGTTGCAGAAGTCCAAAAACCTGATTATCAGTATGACACCTTGTTCAAACCGTGATCCATCAGGGTTTTCCTAGTTTCCGAAAATTATAACCTATAGGATCAGTGTACGAGTTTTGCAAACCCTGGTGTATTGATATTATCGTTGGCAGGCAATAACGAAACTGTATTTCTGGCCAATGGAGGCCCCCCTCGTGCCAGCTCAGATATTGCCTTTGCCAAATTTCAGTTTCGACAGTTGGCACGCGAGAACCTCGGGTTACGGGAAATGAGGGGGGGGGGTGTAGAGGGAAAGGGGGGGGGGGGGGGGGGGAGGGGGGGGGGGGGGGGTGGGTGGGGTGAGAGGGGGGTTTTTTTTTGGGGAGGGTATGTACTCGATTCAGGGTAAAACTCGTTACGAAGATCGGTAACCCTGGGCCGTCAGTGTACCTTAAACGTAAACCCTGGCCTATCAGGAAAATACATGCTCCTGAAGTAATTACCCTAAGGCATCAGTGTGACAGCTAAAAACCACCCTGATTATCAGGGTATCAGGGTAATTTACCCTGATACAATTAGCCCTGGTGGGGATTGGGGCTAATGCAGTCCAAGTGTAGATCCCATGCCATGCCAACTCAGAAACTTAGGGGGGACAACATGTCGGCAATTTCAAGTACTCGAGAGGTTCACCGCCTTATATGTGGTGGGTGGCGCCCAGGCAGACGCTAACACCCTGGCTGGGACCTACCTTGGCCACAACCAGTTGCATCGCCGGTGTCGGTGTAAATGCTGGCTGTGGAACGTCTGTTTGCCTAAAATTAAGCAGAACAAGACCAGAGGGTTCTATTCTATGGTGTAATTCTTCCAGGAAGGGGTAATTTGTTATCCCATCCATCACGCTTGTCGTTTAGACCCCCCTACTGATCCAAAACAATCTTGACGTTGTCTGTACTAAACAAATGTATCCACTGATTGTGTGTAGCAGTTGGGGCTGGCCGGTGCTTCATTCCAGTGACAAATGTTCAACTTGCCGGTTGAATACACGGTATTCAAGGATCCAATGTCTTTCTGAGTTTGGCATATCGAAACTGAGGCGAGCCTATAAACTGGGGATGTGCGTGACATAAGCAGTTATAACAGTGTCAATAAGGTGTATGACTCAAGTTTTCTGGAAATATGCACCACTTGGTCACAAATTGTTCATACGCCAGTCAGCAATCGGTAGTGGGTTGATATTGAGAGAAATCAACAACAAAAATGCTCCACATACATGTACTGATGTCATGAACTAGCTTTCGAACTGTACACACAAGAACCATAGATGAACTAGTGAACCATAAAGTGCTCCTGCCGTAAACTATGGATGGGCATTGGATGGTAGGCATGCAGGTAGCGTGAGGGCAGGCAGACACAAAATCGTTGCCACCTGCATAGAAAAAAACACACCCATGCTCACGCCCCCTCCTCTGCCACCATTGGGCATGCAGGTCCATCTATGAACCCTCACACGATCAGACTGCCCTGCTTTCGTATAAACTTGTGACCTTTCTAGTATCTCGCGAAGATTATACAAGCTCAAAAGTGATAGAGGCATTGCCACAGGGCAGGGCACTCATCACTAGCCCTGCAGTGCCTTCGTTCCTGCCAGAATGCCTCCCATCTGTTCCTTCCCATCTCCTCCACGCACCTCCACGCAAGCACCTCCTCCCCACACCTGTAAGCCAGCCTGTGCAAGTCTCCCCAGTCCAGTGTGCAATGTCATGTCACCTTCTCCACACAAAAACTTGGGATTTTCCCACACAAGCACCCTACAGTGCTAATGATGCGTTCCCTGTTCCCTGTACATTCCACTTCGCTCCCCCCCACTTCCCCTCCTTCCCCTCCTTCCTGCTCTCCTTCCCTCCCCCCTCCTTCCTACTCTGTTTCCTCCTCTCCCCCTCCCTCTCCTTCCATCCTATCTCAAAATGTCATCTGCTGCAGTATCCGTCCTATTGGCCCCTGAGGAGGGCACTACGTGAGCGTGAAGCGAACACCGCCCTCTCTGTCGCATTCCGTTGCGCACTTCCCCATTATGAGAATCTGGAAAACGGACACAAGCACACCTATCCCACACCACACCAACCTCTCTAACCCGCTCCATACATGCTCTACACACGCACATGCACACACACACACACACACACGCACAGGCACCGACACAAAGGCTGACACACACGCACACACACACAAACACACACACACACACATACACAGACACAGGCACCGACACAAAGGCTGACACAAACACGCACACACGCCCCTCATCCCTCTCCCCTTTCACTCTTCTCACGCTCTGCTCCCAGCCGTTGCCTCGGCCTTGTGCTTTACGGGCAACTGCAAGTCCAGTCTAAAACAACACCGCCCGCTCTCAAACGCGTACCCCAGCTCCCCCCCCAGCAGATGGACCAGTCTCCTACACAACCGCAGCGCCATGCCCTGCAACCCCGTCGCAGCCACGCCCCCCCTCCCCACCAGCACCTGCACCAGCGGCCCCGGCACGCCATCCCCCGAATGAGCCACGGTGAATCTGAACCGTTCAGCCGACGGGTGCCCCTGCGGGGGCGGCACATCAGCCGCTCCTCTCATCGGCGCTTCTAGCTTCAGCTCGATCCACCCGGTCGGCGGGGTGTGCTCGACAGCCGTGCGGAGACACGTGGCTAGCACCTGCTGTAGCCGCGTGGGATCACCGAATACTCGCACTCTCATGGGGCTGGGTACTGAGCAGACCAGTTGTTGCCCCTTGGCGATCGCTGCTCCTGACGCCTGGCTTAGCGATGCGTTCAGCACGGATACCAGTGAGAATTCCACCCGCTGCACGTCTAAATAACCCTCCTCCACTGCATTCAAATCCGCCATATCGGCCAGAATCGTTCTCATCTGCTCTTCCAGTGCAGCAGCCGTTTCCAGCAGCTGGACCTGATCCGGCGAGAGGCTGGCAGAGCGCTGCAGAGACAGGCGGATGAAGGCTAGCCCGTCAAGGGGCGCCCGGAGGCTCTCTCTGGCCACGTCTGATTGGGCTATGCGGGCCTGTGCGGCGGTCTCGGCGGCGGCCTGGGCTTTAAGAGCCTCCTGCACCTCGCGGTTCATGGAGTGCAGGAAGCAGAAGACGCCCGTTATGCTCCCGTCCACGTCCGTGCGCTTGCTCACTGTTAGGAGCACCTCCTGGCAGGGGCCGGCAAGGGGTGGGGACAGAGAAAAGGGAAGAGGGCGGTGAGGATTGGGGACAAGTGCAGACAGAAGTGGTATTTCTAACAATACCACCTGCTCTCTCACTGCTGCCTGTTCTAGAACTCTCATCTGCAGCTTCCCGTCTCTCGCAGAGAAGGAGAAGGGGTGGTTGTTGGTGTCATGTCATCCTCATCCCGCAGCATCAGCATGGCCATGTCCCACTAACCCACTCATTCCCCATGTGGTAACCACCAGTCCCCTCCCTCGAGGCGGTTTAAAGGCCAGTTTCTCACCTGCAGCTTCCCGTCTCTGGCAAAAAAGGAGAAGGGATGGTTACTCGTGTCCTCATGGCCCTCCATTGCACAGTTAACAACAATCTCCAGCTCAGTCATGGCATCCTCGTCCCGCAGCATGAGCATGGCCATGTCCAGCCCAAACACCTCCCCCAGCAGCAGCCTGCCCAGCACGTCCCCGCGCCCCAGCCCCGTGAGGCGGCTCATGCCCGTGTTCCACTCGCTGCAGATGCCGTACTCGTCCATTCCGAAGATGGGCGGGATGAGCGGGTTGGGCGAGTGCACGATGGTGCGGTAGTCGCCCTCACACCGGATGTATCTGGAGGGGAGAGGTTGTGGGGGGGCGGGGGGGAGGTGTGGGAAAGGGGAAAGTGGGATGGGGATGTCCTGTCCCACCGAGACTCACGCCCAAGCCACAAGCACTACACCCATCGTTCGTTCCTACCATTCCTCCCTAATCCACCCAGCGTGCCCCCCACGTATCTTCTGGGTGGTCATGTCCTGCCCGTCCTGCCCCACGAGGCACACGCCCGCTCACACATGACCAGCAGCACAGCACCCTGAATGTCGCCGCTTTCCCTTCTCGTCCCTCTTATTAGACCCAGCAGGCCCCTCACTGGTCCATGACGATCTTCTGGGTGGTGATGTCCTGCCCCACGAGGCACACGCCCACGCCAAGAGCATTACACACACCCCTGCTACCACTCTTCCTCCCTCCCTAACCCTCCTTCCCTCTTCCTCACCGGTCCATGACGATCTTCTGGGTGGTGATGTCCTGCCCCACGAGGCACACGCCCACGATCTGGTTGTGAATGTCCCGGTTGGCACAGCTGTTCACCAGCATGATCAGCACGCCCGCCGGCACTCCGCTGCGCCACACCTTGAGGCGGATCTCCACGTCTGATTCCTCCCTGCCTTGTAATGACTGTTGACGGAGGGAGGAAGACGGAAGAGTGGGGTGGGTGGAGCATAGATGAGGAGAACGGGTAAGGAACTGGAAGAAGGGGAGAAATAGTTTCTGTTTGGCGTTGTCTCAACACTGTGAGGTTGGCACAGCTGTTCACCAGCATGATCAGCACCCCCGCTGGCACGCCGCTGCGCTACACCTTGAGCCGTATTTCAACGTCCGATTCCTCGCGACCGTGTAGGGACTGTTGTGTAGAGGGGAGCATGGGAAGGAAGCAGAGCAAACAAAGCACGATGGGAACCCCTCGCTGGCACCCCGCTGCGCCACGCCTTGAGGCGAATCTCCACGTGTGACTCCTCCCTGCCCTGTAGCGACCGTTGAGGTTGAGGGAGGTGTGGGGGAGAGAAGGGGAAGTGGTCCGAGCATAAGTGACTGAGCGATGAGCACCCTCGCTGGCACCCCGCTGCGCCACGCCTTGAGGCGAATCGAATCTCCACGTCTGACTCCTCCCTGCCCTGTAGCGACTGTTGACGGAGGGAGGAAGACACGGAAGAGTGTAGGGGACTATGCCTTAGCCTCACGGGCACAAGCAGTCTCTGCGTATCTGCCTTGCTCTCCTCCGCCTTGCTCTCCTCCGCCTTGCTCTCCTCCGCCTTGCTCTCCTCCGCCTTGCTCTCCTCCGCCTTGCTCTCCTCTGCCACCAGCTCTGTGTGCGCTCTAGTCTCTCTCAGCTACGAAGCACACGCTCACCAATACCATGCCTATGCCTGACAGACATAAGGAGTCCCTCTGCTCCCCGCCACCAGCTCGTGTGTGAACTCTAGCTCATCTCACTTACAAAGCACACTCACTGACAACACCCCTGCGCCCAAGGCTCACCGACACGAGCAGTCTCTGAGTGTCCGCCTTGCTCTCCTCCGCCACCAGCTCCTGTGTGCACAAGACCAATACAGAGCAATTTCTCACCAGCACACGCCCCCGGACACCCAGCACACACGCCTATGCCTCACCGACACGAGCAGTCTCTGAGTGTCCGCCTTGCTCTCCTCTGCCACCAGCTCTTGCAGGAATGAGCGCCCCATCGCCTCCTCCACTGGCACGCCTGTACAGGAGAGAGAGAGAGAGGAGAGCGCATGTGGAGCAGTGGGGGCAGGGGCAACGCAGGGAAGAAAGGCGCACGTGAGCCGTGACTCACGCAGCAGCTCCTGCAGGAACGACCGCCCCATTGCCTCTTCCACCGGTACTCCTGCAGGGCGGACGAAAGGAGGAGAGAGCAGGAGTGGTGAGGAGAGGCGGGCGAGTGAGAGTGCAAGGCAATGGGGCAGAGGGAGACAGGGTCCTTGAGTTGTGCCAGCAGCCAAAAACTGGATTCTGCAGTAATGAGCGCCTCGCCTCGTAGCCTGCCTCCCATGCGCACGGACTTGGTAGCCGCCTGGCTCATCTCGTCTCGTCTCATGCTGCTCGCTCTTCCATGCCTCCCTCAAAACCTCAAACCCCAAACCTCAAACCCAAACCCAAACTTCAAACGCGAACCCGAACCCCCCTGTTCAGACGCCCACCGGTGAGTTTGGCGATCTGCATGTTCCAGCCGTTGATCTGGCCGTTGCGGTTGACGCCCAGGATGGGCACGGTGGCGGTCTCAATGATGCGCACCGTCTCGTTGGCCACCTGGTTGATCTCGTCCATGCTCTGCAGCCGCAGCTCCGCTACTCGAGCCAACATCAGCTGCCGCCGCTTCACCTCATCATGCTCCTGGAGGGAATGGCGGCAGCAGGGAGGAGACGGGGGAGAGGGCCAGGCAGGGGTATGGGCACGGTGGCGGTCTCAATGATGCGCACCGTCTCGTTGGCCACCTGGTTGATCTCGTCCATGCTCTGCAGCCGCAGCTCCGCTACTCGAGCCAACATCAGCTGCCGCCGCTTCACCTCATCATGCTCCTGGAGGGAATGGCGGCAGCAGGGAGGAGACGGGGGAGAGGGCCAGGCAGGGGTATGGGCACGGTGGCGGTCTCAATGATGCGCACCGTCTCGTTGGCCACCTGGTTGATCTCGTCCATGCTCTGCAGCCTCAGCTCCGCCACCCGTGCCAGCATCAACTGCCTCCTCTTCACCTCGTCATGTTCCTGAGAGGAGACAGGGGTGGCAGGGAAGGGACGGGGGAGGGAACCAGCCAGGTATACGGCTCACAGTAATAAGCACGGGGCACGGTCTCATTGGCCACGTAGTTGATCTCGTCTCTCCCATGCTCTGCAGCCGCAGCTCCGCCACCTGTGCTAGCATCAGCTGCCTCCGCTTCACCTCGTCATGCTCCTGGGGAGAGGGGAGGCAGAGACGGGATGGAGGAGGGAGGCAGTCAGGGGTAGAGGTAGAGGCACACACAAGGCACCAAGCATGGGTCACCGTCTGGTTGATCTCCCCCATGCTCTGCAGCTGCAGCTCCGCCACCTGTGCTAGCATCAGCTGCCGCCGCTTCACCTCGTCATGCTCCTGAGAGGAGAGGGGGATGGAGGTGGGGAAAAGTGACGAGAGAGATCAGCCAGGGAAAGAGGACAGGCACAAGAGGTATGGATGTCCCTCGGTCTCTCAAAGCAGCACCCGACCCGCATGTGGCTACCAGTTAGCACGGCACCACAGCCCACCCACGTGGGAATCACTTTTGAGAATTCTCAAAAGTGACCCGCATGTGGTTACCAGTTAGCACGGCAGCACAGCCCACCCACGTGCAGCGCGGACCGAAGGATGAGCTGCAGCAGGCTGTGAACAGCGTCCATCTCGACATCCTCCCAGGGCTATCTGTGAGAGCATGTGCACCATCTCAAGGAAGGCCCGCCTTGAAGGACTCCTTTGTTCCCTACATGTGGCTACCAGTTACCCCAATCCACAGGCAAGGAAGGAGCATAGCGGCACAGAGCTCACCTGTAGAGCAGATCGCAGGATCAACTGCAGGCTGCGTACAGCGTCTATTTCGACATCCTACCAGGGCTGCGAGCGCATGTGCACCATCTCGACTCGAGGAAGGCCTTGAAGGACCCCCTTCAACGCCCTCCATGTGGTTACCAGTTGCCCCAATCCACAGGCTAGAAGCACAGCAACACAGATCACCTGGAGAGCAGAGCGCAGGATCAACTGCAGGCTGTGAACGGCGTACATCTCAACGTCCTCCCGGGGCTGCGAGCGCATGTGAACCACCTCGGCTCGAGGAAGGCCTTGAAGGACTCCTTTCACTTCCGTATGTAGCTCTAGTTAGCTCACCTGCAGCGCGGACCGAAGGATCAACTGCAGGCTGTGAACGGCGTCCATTTCAACATCCTCCCAGGGCTGAGAGCGCATGTGCACCGTCTCGAGGAAGGCCTTGAAGGAGGTGCGAGGGTGCATGCGTGTGGGGTCGTCCACGTCTAGCGGATCGTGCTTCTCCCCTCCCCACTTCACCTCCTTCGCTGCATGCGCGCGGAACCTACAGAAGAGGACGGGGGGGAGAGAAGGAGGGAAGGTTGGGCAGGGGAAAGAGTTCCTGGCTGGATGCGCTCAGAAGAACCTGGGGGTTGATGGATGGAGGCATGTGGGGAGGGGGGGCTGGGGGGAAGTTGAGAGAGAGACGGCATGCGTGTGGGCAAGAAGGAAGGCCTTGACGGAGGTGCGTGCGTGTAGCGCGTTGGGCCGCCCACGTGCAACGGGTCGTATGAGCAACAAAACCATAAACACACCACATGAGCAACGTATTGCGGAACGCACCACATGAGGAAGTCTTTATCGCTGAACTTGACGGCTATGAGCCCGCACACCTCCTCGCCCAAGTCAGACGCGTGGGGGTAGCCGGCGTTGAGCAGCGAGTCGGTGCTGAACCCTGTGGAGTCGCTGTGGTGGGTCAGCAGCCACTCTGCTATGTTCAGCACCTGGTGGTTGCAGGTGGGTGGGTGGGGAAGGAAGATCTGGTGCTTTGAGGCGCCTCAAACACATGTGTGATGCGTCCGCAGCAGCCACTGCTCTGCTGTGTTTAGCACCTGGTGGTGGCAATGCAGTGTGCATGAGTGGGGAAGGCAGGAAAGGGAGGGAGGTGAATGCATGTGGGTGGGGGTAGCCGGCGTTGAGCAGCGAGTCGGTGCTGAACCCTGTGGAGTCGCTGTGGCGTGTGTGTCAGTCAGCAGCCACTCCGCTATGTTCAAGACCTGGTTGTGGCATGGCATGGGAGTGGGCGGGGAAGGCACGGAAACAATAATGGGAGAGCATGCGTGTGCCATGGACGCCTTAGCACATGGGTGGTGAGTGGCTGTGGTGCGCCAGCAGCCACTCCTCTGTGATGCTGAGCACGTGGTGGCGGCATGGCATTGCAGTGAGCGCACTTGAGGAGCGGGACACAAGGAAGAACACTTCTGAGAATACTCAAAAGTGATTTCAACATGTCAGGTGGGTGGCTGTGGTGCGCCAGCAGCCACTCCTCTGTGATGCTGAGCACGTGGTGGCGGCATGGCATTGCAGTGCAATGAGTGCACGTGAGATCGGGACACAAGGAAAATAGGAAGCTCTCAACACATGGGTGGTGAGTGGCTGGGGTGCGCCAGCAGCAGCCACTCCCCCATGCTCAGCACCTGGCGACGATTGGCAGTGAGTGAGTGGGAAGAAACGGAGGCATGGAGTGGGAGAGCGCGAGTGGGTGGTGGAGACACGCCGTGACCTCTGGGCCGACTCAAAGGTCAGCAGCAGGGCAGCCACTCGGCAGTGTCCAGCACCTGGCGCCGGCGGCAGGGACGTCTGAGTCCCCACAGGGCACCAACAGCGCTCGCCGAAGTTGGGCGTTCTTGGTGACGAGGGTGCCAGGGGGCTCTGAGCTCACATGAGGCACCAAAGGACACACACTACACTCACCTGGGGCTCAGAGGGTGTGGATCCTAATCGCCAGCAGCGGCCATTGTAGAGCAGAGCAGCCCCCTCACAGTGCACGAGGTCGCTGATGCTGGTCGTCTTGGTGACGAGTGGACGTGTGTGAGTCCCCTCCCCCTATAGGGTACAACAGGCACCCCAGAGCACACATCTTATAGCACAGCCACTACACCCACCTGGGGCTCAGAGGGAGTTGACCCAAGTCTCCAACAACGCCCATTGTACAGCAGAGCAGCACCGTCACAGTGCACGAGGTCGCTGATGTTGGGTGTCTTGGTGACCCGGGGGCCTCTCTGACTCCCCCTACAGGCCACACAACCACACTCTCTATAGCACAGCCATCACACCCACCTGAGGCTCAGACGGTGTGGACCCTAGTCGCCAGCACCGCCCGTTGTACAATAAAGCTGCCCCATCGCAGTGAACAAGGTCGCTGATGTTGGGTGTCTTGGTGACGAGGGCAACGGGCGGCTCGCGCATGAGCATGTCGCACAGCAGCGTCTGCATCTTCAGCGCGTGCTTTGCTTTGAGCTGATTCGCCAGGTCCATTTCCTTGCTCAGCTGCACCGCAAACACCTGTGAAGCGAGACGAGGCAGGAGGGGGTAGAGGAGGTGTGAGGTAGTACGGGGAAGGAGAGAGACGGAGGAGGGGTGTTCATGAGGCGGGCCCCAGGGAATCTGCTCTGTGCTTCGCCTTGAGCTGATTCGCCAGGCCCATCTCCTTGCTCAGCTGCACCGCAAACACCTGTGGAGTGGCCAGGGGAGAGAGGGGCGGGTGTCGTGTGGGACAGAATGGAAAAAGACGGGAGGACAGCAGAGCGAGTCAATAAGGAAGGAGGGCCGGGGAAGGGAAACATATGGTTTGCCAGCATCTTCGTCCAGCGGTCAGCAGTCGAAGCAGAGGATGCGCCGTGTGCCATTGTAACGAGGTGACTTGACTTTTGAGTCGACTCAAAAGCCACTTCGCCTTCAGCTGATTCGCCAGCACCTTCGCCCAGCAGTCAGCAGTTGAAGCAGAGGATGCGGGCGGTCAATGAAAGGGCGGGAGGGACCATTGGGCGTATGCTAGACCCATTTCGTTGGTAAGATGGGAGCGGACGAGGTGGGAAGGGAAGGGGTTGGAAGTGACGGGGTGGGAAGGGAAGGGGTGGGAAGGGACGGGGTGGGAAGGGACGGGGTGGGAAGGGACGGGGTGGGAAGGGACGGGGTGGGAAGGGATGGGGTGGGAAGGGATGGGGTGGGAAGGGACGGGGTGGGAAGGGATGGGGTGGGAAGGGACGGGGTGGGGAGAGAAAGGTGGAGAAAGGATGGAGAGAATGAGGAGGGAAGACGGGAGTAAGCGAGGTACACGGCAGAAAGAGAGGAGGGGAGAGGGAGAAGGGAGGGGAAAGGAGGGGGCCAAGCAGGACGAAAAGGGTGTCATCACCTGGACGAGGAACTCGCAGGCAGAGAGGGCGGGGTAGGGCACCATGCAGGGCGAGCAGTGGTGACACCAGCGTTGGGGATAGAAGAGGTGGGAGTGGACGGGTTGGGGGTGGAAGGTGGAAAAGGAGGAGACAAGCAGGATGGAAGGGGCGAACCTGGACGACGAATTCGCAGGCGGAGCGGGTGGGGTAGGGCACCATGCAGGGCGAGCAGTGGTGACACACCACCAGCCAAGGTTGGGCGTGGAAGGGTTGGGAGTGGAAGGGCTGGGAGGGGACCGTAGAGGAGGAGACAAGCAAGCGGGGGAAGGCAGTAGCTAAGGAATCTAATGATAGCCAAGGTGAAGACCAGGGGGTCACCTGCACAAGAAACTCGCAGGCGGAGCGAGTGGGGTAGGGCACCATGCACGGCGAGCAGTGATGGCACACCACCAGCCCCCATAGCCGCCGCCCAGGCTCGGCCCGAACCGCCTTCCCAGCCCCGGCGACGTCATTGGGTGGCGCCGCTGCTGCAGCTGCTGCCGCCCCTGCTTCCCTGTGGTGTGGGATGTTGGAAAGAGAAAGGAGGAGCAGATGATGAAAGGAGGGAGGCGTACGACTTCTTGAGTCGACTCAGAACGTGGACTCATGGATGGGACATGAGAGGGAGGCGGAGGCATGCGGAGCAACAGTGTGCTGTGCATGCAGCAGGCGCAAGGGAGGAAAGAAAGGGGCAGAGAGGAGGGAGGGGGGGAGGGAGGGAGGGAGGGAGGGAGGGAGGGAGGGAGGGAGGGAGGGAGGGAGGGAGGGAGGGAGGGAGGGAGGGAGGGAGGGAGGGAGGGAGGGAGGGAAGGTACAATAAAAGCAGAGAGGCAGTGCAAACTTCTGAGGGGAAGGGGATGGGAGAGACAAAAACGGCCTCATTTCCAGTAGACTTTCAAACAAACAAGCATGATTATCCATGCCCTCAATCATTCACTCACTCCCTCCCTCACTCAATCACTCACTCACTCACTCAATCAATCATTCACTGACTTGCTCGCTCGCTCACACACGCACTCACACACTCACTCCCTGGTGCTGATTGTGATGGCGAGGACAAACGAGTCGACTGTGCCCATGTTAGCCCACCTCCTTCCATGTCACTCAGTCACTCACTCACTCACTTCCCCACTCACTCACTCACTAAGTCAGTCATTAACCCACTCAACCACCCACTCGCTCACCCCGTGCTGACGGTGATGGCTAGCACGAGAGACGCGAGCGTGCCCATGCTGGCCGTGTACCCGCGGTGGCATGATGATCGCACCATGCGCACCGTGCTGTGCGCCAGACAGGCCCTCAACACTCCAACTGTCTTCACACCCCCACAACACCCCCATTTCTAGCCAGATTTTCTCCCTTATTCCACACACGACTCGCCCACTCACCCACCCACTCACCCACCCATTCACTCACCCCGTGCTGACGGTGATGGCTAGCACGAGAGACGCGAGGGTGCCCATGTTGGCCATGTACTCGCGGTGGCACGACCGCACCATGCGCACCGTGCTGTGCGCCAGGGACAGGCCCCCCGGCAGCGCGCCCTGATGCAACACGTCCACCCCCGCCGCCTTGCTGTCCACTATCATTCGCACCCTGTTCTCCATGAACGTGCGCCGTGCCATCTGTATGTGGGACGGGAGGGAGGAAGGGCGGCTGAGAAGCAGCAAGGGAAGAGGAGAGGCAGCGCGCCCTGCTGCAACACATCCAACCCCCCCACCTTGCTGTCCACTATCATGTGCACCCGGTTCTCCATGAACGTGAGACGCGCCATCTGGGGGAGTGAGGGAGGTTCGAGGAGGGACGTGGAGGGGTAGGGGCATAAGACTGGGCGCCTTGCTGTCCACTATCATGCGCACGCGGTTCTCCATGAATGTCTGACGCGCCATCTAGATGACGGGTGGCGGAGGCAAGGAAATAATACTCAACCAAGGGAAGCGGAGAGGATAGGTGGGGGGGAGGGGAACGGGCAGGGCAGCACGTCCACCCCCGCCGCCTTGCTGTCCACTATCAGTCGCACACGGTTCTCAATGAACGTGTGGCGCGCCATCTGGGAGAAAAGGGGGGATGGGGAAAGGGAAGGGGAGGGGTAAGGGGCCTAAGACAGGGCGCCTTGCTGTCCACCATCATGCACACCCGGTTCTCCATGAACGTGTGGCGCGCCATCTGCGACCTAGTGGGAGGGGGAAAGAAGGGAGGAAGAGAAGCAACCAAAGGAGGAGGGAAAAGAGGAAGCGGGGAAGGCTCGTTTCTGTGCACAATCATGCGCACGCGGTTCCTCCTGAACGTGCACGGCGTCGTCTGGAAGGAAATAGGGGGGACGAGAAACCAACCAAGGGAAGGGGGGGGACGAAAATACGCTTTAGATGAACGCCTTGCTGTCCATGGCCATGCCCACAGCTGGTTCTAGATTTCCCATGTCGTGCTGAATACAAAACGGCTTGAGACAGATACATGCTGGTGAGCATGCTTCTGGACGTGTCTCAGTCAGTCTCGGTCAGTCTCGGTCTCTCATTCTCCCCACCAGTCTCATTCTCAGTGACTTCATCAATCTCAGCCACTCGACGGTCACATTCGTGAAACAGTAAAGTCATGACTCCACAGAGCCATGTCTCCATACAATCATTAGTTCATACAGTCACGCCATGCCACCACAGCGTTGATAACAAGCTCATGAATCTAAAGGGTCACGCCACCACAGCACAAGCTCGGCCCCATACTCTCACAGCCCCAGGATCTCATCGCATGGAGGGCTCCGCCACATCTACCAGCCAGACTCAATCACACTGTCAATCTCAGTCAATCTCAGTCAATCTCACTCAATCTCAGTCAATGACAGTCACTGTCAGTCTTGAGAACCCTCAGTCCGTATCGGTCAATTAGTCTCAGTTACTCGGTCCGTCTCGGTCAGTGTCAGTCACTGGAATCTCAGTCAGTCTCTCCTCAGTCAGTTTCAGTCACTCGGTCCGTCTCCGTCTCGGTCACTCGGTCAGTCTCAGTCATTCTTAGTCGGGGTCAGCCCACACGCATGATGGAGCGGAACCGGTAAGGAAGGTCCCTTCCCCGTAATGCCCCTTCCACTCCATCAGGGACGGCAAAGGGAAGGTCTCTTTCCTCCTGCAAGCCTATTAGCCTGTTAGCCTGTTGCGCCCACATTTAATTCAAACAATGCATGTCAATTTCTACTTGGAACGAACCCCTTCCCTTCGTCGCGTGCTGAGCACGTGCCACCAGTGGAGGCCTCCACGTCACACACCATTCTGCCAACCTTGCTGCATGCCACGTGGAGCAATCCACGTCAAATCCGCACAGAACGACTCGGTTCTGGAAATGTCTGTTCTGGACTCGTCTCTCCTCAACTCGGCAAGAGCCAACTCGCGTGTAACGTACAGGGCAGAGAACATTATACCTTGAGAGAGCAGGGCGGCGTCAGGAGGACTCAGGAGGACCCACCATGGGAATGTCTGTGGCGGGATAATGCAATCCCAGATACGATTCGATCTTCTGGTTGTTGAGAAACTCCGCCAGCACTTCGCCGTGCTCGTCTTCGTGAAACTTGTACACCATGATGCGATCGTAACCAGTCATTTCGCCGATTTCCTCGACGACAGTGTTACACAGCAACCGCACGTCGCCGACAGGAAGCGACTTCAATCTCGCCACGGCTCGCGCCGCAAGCTTGTGAGACGCGAGCGCTCCTGTAACGGGGCCTGACGGCGGGTCGAATTTCAACGGCTCGAAATCGATCATTAAGCCTTCCTCGCATCGTCTCATTATAGCGTAAAACGGGTTAGCAGATCGGTGTGAGCTAACGAGGATAGGGCAAACGATGTTCAGATCCGTTGCGCTGCAAGCTCTCTCAATTGTCGCCACGCTCGTTAGTTTAAACAAACTCCGCGCGTCGAGGCCTATCGCGCCTTTCCAGTCCGGGTTTCCCGGAAGCGCGTCAATCTCCAACATCTCCACCGCGTTCCGACTAAGCGCGAGGATACGAAACGAGCTTTCCTCGACTAGTAGCAAGCACCCGAAGGACTGAATTTGTCCAATTTTGGCGCTATCGGGACGAAAGTTGAGGTATCTACCATCAAACCCTATTTCCTCTCGTATGTGGCCGGTGCTGTACTTGCAGTATTCCGGCTCCGGCTCGGATCCGAAAATGGAGGCTTCGACTTGCGCGCTCGGGTATCCCTCCGCCTCGCCTACGAGATCCTCTACTAAATCTCTGTCGTCCATCTCGCCTCGCATTCTGTGCGTCAGTTTCGCGTTGCCGTCAGATCCTAACAGCGCGACTGAGATTTAACAAACTACGGAAGTAATTCTAGTGTGATAGAAGGAAGAGGGTGTTTATTAATCTGCAGGCAATGTGACTGAAGCTGACGGAGTGCCATGAATGATGCTCTCCATGCTGCTTGCTCGGCGTGCAGTGGAGTGACAAAACTCAACAATCAAAAAGCGTGTCGAGTGGATGAGGCCTAGAACTTGACGTTCGATTGCATCTGCTGCACTGCATCCGCCCACCTGTTTTGTACTTGAGTTGAGAGGCAGGCGTGCGAGAAGAGGTGCAACTAGAGTTTCATTTCATTGCTCCTCCTTCCCCACGGACCTCACGCGTGTGCCACAGTTGCCAGCTTCTCCTACGGATGTTCTCCAGGCTCGTGTGAATGGTGGGATACTCCAGGTTCGAGTTGCCAGACCACAGTGGTTTGGTGCACGCCGAACCTGGTGACGTAGATTCGGCCATCGGTAAAATTGCGCGACGCGCCGGCGCGCGAACTTCTTTCAAACCTATCGACCAAACTCGCACCGCAGGTAGGGCGACCAAACCTCGTCCAAATGGATCGACCTACATGCGCTTCCACGTTATTTTCATGCTGCGAACGAGTTCATCTCGACGTTACAGGTGCCATTTGGTTTTACGGCCAGAATCGCGGGATTGCAGCTTGGGGTTTCGATCCTTTCAGCAAAGACAAACTTTGCGACGTGTTACGTCACTTCAGTCTGGTTGCGCAGACAAGGCTTGTCTTATGCTGTTTTGTTTGGTCTGGTTTTTTTTACGGTGTAAAACAAACTAAATTCCGTAGGGAGCCAGGCACACTTTCAATGCATCAGCCCTAAACACCTTGAAAGTTCCCGTGTTTAGGGTTGATCCCTCCCGAATTCCACCACATTCAAAGCATTAACCCTAAACACCATGCTTCCCGTGTTTAGGGTTGATGCCTCCCAAATTGCGTTCCTGCCTCTAGGGGTTTATTTTTTTTTTTCAGCCCCTGCTTAGATTCAGAGCTCCGTAGATGTTTCAGAAAATCGCGTTTGACACGCGCAAAAAAAAATTTAACATGTAGACAAAAAACCTGACACGCACACGAAACATTTTTGCGCCTTCGTAAACAGACAAAATAACTGAATCTTGTAAGGTCACGGCAATGTAGCCACAATTGCGACCTTGTTTTTTTACGAAAACACGAACACCACCTGGAAAACATTTTCTCGCGCGAGACAGTGACAATTAGGAAGACCACCAATTCTTTCACATTAACTTGGTTGCCAATATCACGTAAGCGCATGTAGTTAGATTCATTTGCGAGGGGTTCGGTCGCCCTACCTACGGTGCGAGGCTGGTCAATGGGATTAAGAGAAGTTCGCGCGCCGGCGCGTCGCGCAATTTTGCCTTCGGCCATCGCACTCCCGAAAGTTGGGCAGCGAAACAGTTCCCCTCGTCGTGTCGCCGACTTTTTGCCCTTCCAACCCAAGCGTGAACAAAAGGCCCCCGGTCGCCTGAAAACTCTACGAAAGGGCTGCTTTGCCAGCCGAGTCAGCACTGGGAGTCATGAAAATATCCACACTGGGTGGATTTTTAACCCAAACCGGGACCACCTGGTTGTAACACAGCTTGTGCCCAGGTGCTAGGTTTGGAGGAGGGGAGGCGCGCTGAAATTTCTGGTAGTTGGGTTTTTTTGGCAGGGGACCTGCACTAGCGGCGTTGAGGGGAAAGTGCTGGTGTGGCAAGCAGACGAAGCGGACCCCACATTTCGAATCGAACTGGACGAGGAGGGTTCTCCCATCCCAAGCCCTCCATTCTGTCTGGCAAAATCTGCAACAAAGAAACTGCACCAATGATTGGCTTTCCTTCTCGCTGGTGGAATCATTGTACTGCAAGGGATGATGAGAAGGAAGTCCAGTGTGATTCTGGCCGTTGGTGGACATTCCGGCTCTGGAACATGCACCTGCGAGAACGTATATACACGGCCGAGCAGCAGCGAGTTTTATCACTTCGAAGAAACGCGCCTTTCAGGTATGGTGCTTCAAGAAGCATTTTTAGCAAAGTTCCGGCCAGAACATCCAAGGCAGTGGTGGTTTCGACCACCAAGTGCCTCTGCTTTTAGCTGGATGACTACCAGTGGACCCCAGTTATATCAAGAGGTACCACCTCAGGGTATCAATTTATGTAGGACTCTAATTTGCAAAGTTTTGCGAAATCAGTCTACAGCCGAATTTTTCACCCTGCCAAATATTCAAAATCTTCGGGAAACGACAAGACGGATCCCTCATGCCTGTTACTTTCGGAGATATTATGCTATTCTCTGTAATAGAAGTTTCGGTATTGATTTCAGTCACAAATACTGAAGAATTTTGGTAATACGGTAGTTTATAATGACACTACTTACATACACAGCACAATGTCAAAATGCCACTGCACAGTAAGCAAAAACTGCATCCCCAGCCAGTGTTCACATTGGATACGAATTGCCCCATAGTAGGTTGCCTGTAAGACTATACTGTGGTTAACCCGTGTATTGGTTGGAAGCATGAGGAGGTTATTGTTGGACACTTGCGACATTCGGAGCTGGATTGCATAAAAAAAAGCTGGCTCAGGTCCAGTGTAACCTCAGCATATGGTTAGCGAGCACCCACTAGCAGGCTTACACCACATGGTACACTCCGTAGCTGCACTACTGGGCTGAAAAAAATATTTCAAACTACATCGCCGGAAAAAGTGCCCTGCAGAAGATCCTTGCTCACTACCAATCCAGAGTGAGCCATTCGCAGTAGCTCCAAGCTGGCACTACCCGCTCTGGCTCTGAGTAAACTCTAGAGTCACCTTCAACTCGCATCACCAGAAATAGCGCCAGGCAGAAGATCCTTGCTCACTACCACTCCAGGAAGAGCCGAGCGCAGCAGCTGCAGGCTAGCACTGCCCGCTCTGACCTGCTTCAAACGAGCCCCTTCAGCATCTTCGCTCCCTTCCTTGTCACAACAGAACTCGATACATCCAACAGCTCCAAAGCAGTCAGCTGCTGCACATGCTCCAAACCAGCATCAGTGATCGAACTCGGGAGGACAAGCATTTTGAGCTGGATTAACGGTGCCAGGAACCGAAGACCATGGTCCTTCACTCCACTTCCGAACAGATACAGCTCCTCAAGGCTTGTCATCCTTCCCACGAGCACCATGCCGGCACACGTCACACCCTCGCACTTGTAGAGAATTAAAATCTTGAGGGAAGCAAGGGCGGCCAGGTGTGGCAAGCCCGCATCAGTCACAGCGGCTTGATTGAGGTAGAGAAGCTTCAGACTGCTGCTAACTTCCCCAATGCCGTCCAGAGTGGTATCAGAGACAACGCTGCCCTTCAGCTCCAGACTCTCCAGCTGCGGCAGCCTGTAGAGGCAGTTGATGCCTCTAGAGGTGACGCCAGATGAGGAGTCGATGTGCACGTGCTTGAGGCGAGCCATGGTGGCCACGTGGGCGAGAAGGGCGTCTGAGAGGTGCGTTTGCCCCTTGAGATCCAGTGTTGCTGTTGCTCGGATTTTCTGCGTAGAAAGGTGGAGAGGGGGGATACACAAAGAAATTATATTGAGGGGGAGAGAGGTTGAAAGAGAATGAGAGATAGGACCAGAATCCAATACATTGCGAATGAGCAGCCAGCAGCCAGCAGCCAGCAGCCAGCAGCCAGCACACCTGCCACAAGGACTTGGCATCGCCTTGGCTTGACTCGAGTTGCTCTTCAACATCAATCTCCTCATGCCTTGACGTCTGACCCTGCTCCACTGCTGCCGATCGCTCACTCGCTCCCATTCTCAGCCCCTTCACCTCCTCCTTGACACCCATTGCTTCCTTCCCCAAGCTGTTCTTCTGTCCAATTAACTGCCTCTTTACTGTTTCCAGCTCCCCTTTCACCGCAATCAACTCCCCCTTAACTGCTATCACCTCCCCCTTGACATCTACAGATTTTCCCTCCAGCTCCTCTTTCACTGTTTCCAGTTTCCCCTCCAACTTCCCCATGTCTGTTCCCCATTCCCCCTCCAACTCTGCCCTGGTTGCTACCAAATCCATCTCCATCCCCCACTTGGCATCCAACAACTCCTTTTTCACATTTATCATCTCTTTCTCTCCCTTCTCCACTCGCCCTCTCAACTCTCTCGAATCCGCCACTCTCCTTCTCTCAGCCTCCTCCAGTCCCTTCCTTGTCTCTCGCAGCTGTCCTTGAAGCGTACTGATCTGAGCTTGCATGGCCTGTATAAGAGCAACTGTTTCCGCCTGCTGCCTTGAACGAATGGGAGCACCTGCACCCGCTCCCTGGACTCCTGAACTGCACAGGGGAGAGAAGGGTGCGAGGAGGCGAGGATGAAAGGAGGAAAGATGCGCGCGCAAGGGATCAGCTCGTTTTTTTAAAGCTAATATCGAATGGGAGCATCGTCACCCGCTCCCTGCATTCCGGAACCGTGCAAGGGAGAAGGGTACCAAGGAAGGAAGACATGCGTGCACGAGGAAAGTCAGTATCGAAACACAGAATTGTGAACACAAACAAGGACAGTCGATGAGATGTGAAAGCGCGCGCACGGATATGAAGGGTCATTGAACAAGGCCTTGAAAGCTAACGAGGTGGACAGTGGACACGTGGTGGAAGGGTGAGGCATTCTCACTTGTCAGAAAGAGCCGAAATTACAAATTCCTGTGGCATAAGAGGGGCACCAGGAGGGACCGTTCGAAAATAACTTAGTGAGAGGAGGGAAATTAAAGAAAAAGGGTAAGAGAGAAGAGAAGAAGGGAGAAGAGCAGAGAGACACGACGTGAGAGGAGATTAGAAGGCGAGCTGCATGACTTGCTGTATGCGAGATGAGAAGGCCACGAGTAGGACTGTTGTTAGGTACTTGCTTATGGGGAGATAATTGAGGTTGTGACCAATTGTGTGATTCAAGCATTGTTATCACGGCACGATTCATGGCATATAGACGGCACGAATGAATGGCAGAGAGAGGGTATGACTGAATGTTATAAATGACATGTGTCATGGCATAGAAAAGTCACGAATTATGATATGAGAGGCATGATTCATGGCATAGCGGGAGCAGAACTTTTGGTAAAAAGAGGGCATGATTTGAGGGATAGAGAGGGCATAGTTCATCGCATAGATAGGATTTGAGTCATGGCATACCAGGAAGAAAATGAAAGCACTTTGGAGCTTTATTTTCAACGCCAAGCCCTGCTGGCCCACCCTCGCTCGGGTCTGTGTCTGAGCAATGTCCGACCACCAGGCCAGCATAAAAAACGCCGGCATGCCTGGACCAATGACGTACGCCTGATAATGGCGTTGAGACAGCGGAACAGTTGAGCAGTCAGTTTGGAACTGCAGGACAGGACACACGTGTCAAGATATTACTGCTGGGCTAAAAAGACAACGTGCATTTGGTGTTGGTGTTGGTGCAAAGACACTGGGTCCGAACCGAACACGGGTGCCATGTCATGCAGGGTCCATGCTGGAAGAGAGACACATGCTTAAGCAGCGCGGTAGAGCATGTTGGATAATCCATGGTACTTCATGTGCCAATCCAGCTTCTATTGGAACCACTGTATACAGTAAGACATACGAAATATGCCCTCTCAACTGCCTGGTAAGTAACTGGTAAACGTTAGATAAATGGCTGGTGAATGGCTGGTGAATGTGTTGGACGTCTGGCGAATGTCTTGCGAAGGTCCGACGGGAATTTGATTGGGGTGATTGCTGACCTGTTGAGGGACATTCCCGCGTGGATCTAGCATGAGGACACGTCCGATCAGGGCAGCAACAGGCAATGCGGCCAGCAGCCCTGTCAGCGACACGGTCGGTTTATCCGTCCTCCCATCTTTCAGTCGCCTCAAACCCACATCCACGCCAGGCACCAGCACGAGCAGGGGTGCCGTGACAGCAGCGACAGCCACTGCGGCCAGCAGCGCTTTCAGCCGCGCTACGAACTCAATCATCATCTTCTCATCCATGGGAACAAGTGGTTTTCAATGCGCCTCAAATAACGTCTCCAGCTTGATGCAGGCTGTGCAAGAAGTGCAAGCGGCATGACGAGGTGCGGGGGAGGAGGTGGGGGAGGGTGGGTGGGAAGGGGGAAGGAGGGGGAACACAGGAGCACAGGATGGAGATGGCAACGAGGCACGATGAAGAGGGAATCTAGGGAGCTGGGTGCATTGGGCACGATAAGGCGCTGTGGATTTTAAGTAGTGTTACTATTCCAGCATACGAGAGCATCAGGGAACACCAGAAAGCACCAGGAAGAATCACGGAGCATCAGAGAGGACCTGGAAGAATTATAGAGCATAAAACAGGAGCAGGAAGGACCAGAGAGAATCGAGGCGCATCAGGTACCATAATAGAGCATCCGAGAAGGAACTAGGAGAAGAGGAGCTGGCAGGAGGACGGAAAGAAGGGGCAATCGAAAGGAGACGACGAACCGGGTTGCGAAACAGATGTGGCACCTTCCAAAGAACCATGCACAAGGTAACATGTCTTCCAGGCTCACGCTGCACTAGGTATGCACCGGATTACACTCTTTATTTTGCCAGGTTAGAGGCGTTCGTTAGTACTGTGCTCTCAAGCTTACCTCTACGCAACCCTACTTTTAAACCGGTGGAGCTCAGACAGTCAGAAAGGCGCTGCGAGCTCGGACAGTCAGATTCTTTTGATGATTCCGAAGTAAACAAAAGATGAGACTTGCAGGGCTTGCCGAGGTGAGACGGGAAGAAGCAACGCAGAAGGATCTCTGCATCGAACGGGAGGAATAGGGCAGGATAAGCCGCTGTGCTGATCGGTAAGGAGGGAAGTACGAAATACGTCATCATGATGCGTGGAGCGAAAGACATCGGCATGTGCATTTGGCGCGGAGCGAAAGACATTGGGCAATGTCTGTAAGAGGTGTGACCATGCGATGTGATGACATCGAGGCAACCCCATCGCTCCTGGGAGTAATGAAGTGGAATGAACGCAAAGGAGCCAGAAAGCGAAATGCAGAGGGCTTCCAGTGAAACCGATGGCGTCACGCCTTGCGACGGCGATTGCACGCCTTGCGACGTCAGCTTCACGCCTTACGATGGGGATTATACGCCTTGCAATGGGGATTCTATGCCTGGCGATGATAGCAGGGCTCATGTTACTTGGCTTCCTGCCACACAGGACGATGTCTTGGTTCGCTTGTGTTTCAGCCAAACTTCGCTGACTCAGGTTTTCACCGCAACACGGCTCACCAGGTACGCAGCGACCGAGGCGACAGTTCAGGGTGGTAACTAACGACGAGCAAACAAATACGCGGTAACGTCGTGACTCATTTCAAGGTAGACTCTCTTTTTGGAAATTTGTGTGTTAGATGCTAGAGAAGAGATGACACGTTTCTCAACCAGCACATGCCTTGCACAAGATTGGATGCGTCTCATGCTGGTAACAGAATTTACAGTATTGAATGGTGAAAGATGGTTAACTGCAGAAATCGGAAAGTGAAAGATGATACGGTACGAAGACAATTATTTACATTATTGACAAAATTGTCAGTACAGGTATGTACAGATCCCTCAACCTTCTTGTTCACTGTTGATTTCCACCTCATCACCGCCCCTCCCGACCATAAACAATGTTACGGTACGAATCTAGGGGGCTGAAATGTTCGAGTAACATCGAAAGCGTGAAATTCGACTCTCGAATTTCACCGATCCGAATTCTCCTTGGGTCTCGAATGTTCCTGGTGTACTGCGTCAACCTCCCCACATGCCCTATGCCAGGAGATGCTCCGGTAGTCACGGGCCGGCTTAAACCTTTGTCTTTAATCACCACAAATAACGCCGGGCGGAAGACGACTAACCACTTCCACGCCAGGAAGGAAGGTCCTCAACAGTGTCTGAAAGCTGTCACCATACGCTTTGATCTGCTTCAAACAAGGTAACTTTTCCAACAGCTTCACACCCTTTTCCGTCGCAACAGACTTGTTGAAATCCAAGTATTCCAGAGCAGTTAGGCACTGAATGTGCTCCATGCCAGCATCAGTTATCGTATCCGGGAGGATAAGCTTCTTGAGCTTGCACAAAGGTGCCAGAAATCGCAGCCCATTGTCTTTCACACCACTTCCGAACAGGTACAGCTCCTCGAGGCTTGTCATCCTCCCCACGTGCACCATGCCAGAACATGTCACCTTCCAGCACTTGTACAATATCAAGGTCTTGAGGGAAGTGAGACACGTCAACTGCACCAACCCAAAATCAGTCACCCTAGTGCGGTTAAGATAGAGAAATTTCAGGGTCCGTACTCTCCCAATGCCCTCCAATGTGCTGTCATTGACTAAGCTGCTCTTCAGCTCCAGGCGCTCCAGTTGCGGCAGCGAATAGAGCCCCTTGACGCCTTCAGATGTGAACCCTGATGTCACATCGATGTGCACGTGCTTGAGGTGAGTCATGGTGGCCACGCGGCCAAGGTAGGAGTTTGAGAGGCAAGATAGGGCTTTCAGGTCAAGAGTTGTATCGAGATGCCTCGATGCAGGGCACGGCATCGCTGCGGCCTCATCTGGATTCGCTCGTTTCCTGGATCTCTGCACCTCACCCTCCATGCCCACCGTTTCCTCCTCCACAATCTGCAAGAGGTCCTGCTGTTCAACCAACTCCTGCTTCACTTCCATCGACCCTCCTTCCACTGTTTCCAGCGCCACTCTTACGGTCGCCATCTCACCCTTCACTGTCCCCAGCTCTTCATTTCCTGTCGCAACCTCTTCATTTCCTGTCGCCAGCTCTCCCTTTACTGTCGCAAGCTCTCTCTTTACTGTCGCAAGTTCTCTCTTTACTGTCCCCATCTCTCCCTTAACTGTCTCCATCTCTCCCTTCACTGTCGCCAGCTCTCCCCTTGCTGTAACAAGTTCCCCCTTTACCGTTACCAGCTCTCCTCTCACTAGAATCACCTCCTCTGCCCTTCTCCTCTCAGCCTCCTCCAATCTCCTCCGTGTCTCCTCCAGCTGCCTTTCCACCAGGTGCTGTCAGGTAACGAGGGAGAGAGCAAGAAAGTCGAGGATAACAGATCCTGTCGGTCTTTAACGAACAAAACAAGGGCGGCGAGGGTAGTACAAGGAGCAGGGTAAAACACAAGGTGAGTGCGGGACGGTAACAAAGAAAAGAAGAAGGAAAAACAAATGCCGGATTTGAGTTGAGGGACGTGTGCGTTCAGATCTAAAACTGGTGACCTGTCCCTTCCTGCTCTCGAAGGGTTTTATGATTGAAATGATGAGATGCGCCGAGATACATAGAAACGATCGACGCTCAGCTACTTACAGACGTGAGACTTACCAATCGTGTGAAAAGCTTTCATCGAGAATAACGAAGACGACGAACGCCTCACGGTCAGCTGATTAAAGACGAGAGACGACCGTCCTTAGGGCCTACCAATCGTGTTAAATGCTTACATCGAGAGTGACGAATACGACGCCTAACGAGCATTCACAGGGTAGAGGCTATGATGCAACAACGAGAAGGATGATGACTGCGGTTAAAACGCTAACTTCCCTTGAAGGGAGTTCTGGATGAGGAACCACGCCTTTCGAAAGAAGTTTTACGCCTTACTATGAAGATTTACGCCATACTAAGAATATTTACGCCTACTAAGAAGATTTACGCCTTGCTAGGAAGATTTACACCTTGCGAGTTCAGCCTTAAAACCCGCAGGCCAAGATATTCAACCTTAGGAAGGTTGGTTGGGAGTTGCTAGACGAGGTGTTATAAACTCGGGAAATTCACAGGCGTTTTTGGGACACCCAACCAACACTAGGAAGGATGAACCAAATTTGGCCTTCTTGACCCACGGGTTTTAAGATGATAGATAGGCACCCCAACTCATTCACGCCTCATCGTTTGACGAAATTCTGCATGAAGCTGAGGGCGTGGAACATTGTTGTTCAAACCGCTGTTCAATACCACATCGTTCAGATTACCGCACTGCACTACTCAACGTTTGTGGACTCGATTTCACCGTTAAAAACCCATGTGGTTTCTTGAACTGCTCGTACAAAAAGCTGTTCTGAACACGAATGTACCGGGCCCTGACAGGTTCGCCTGGCTTCGTCGAGTCAGTCTTTCGCATGATGAGAGGGTGTCTCAAGTACCTGGTCCGCCCCGAGCCTGTCCGTTGCCAGAATGTGCGTGCCTGGTCCGGAGTTCTAGTCCGACGGACCCAGTTCGCAGACCAGGCGTGGACCAGACACGGACTGGTCTGTATGATACATCGCGTCGCGGGCTGTACAGTTTTTGCGAGTTGAAACAGTAGCGATGAGATTCGAACATGCTGTAATCGAGTTACCTTTTTTTGTGCAGGGTAAATTTCCCCATCCCGTCAAGCACGAAATTCACGACGGCCGTACAGTTTCGCAAAGAAATGTGGGAGGTGCTACAGTATTCGGACCAGCCACAGGCTGGTCTGCTGACCAGTACTATGACACCAATGTAGTGCCTTTCGATTTTTATAACGGGGTTAGAGCTCCCGCATCCCGGACCAGTCCGTCGCTGATTCACGTGGTGGTTTTCGACCTGGTCCGTCGGGTCCGCTTCGGACCTACGTGAACTCCTGCATTTGTGACACGTCCTGATAGATCACCCCAGCGTACGGAGCAACCGAGGCGGACATTTAGACTCGCGAAACCTTGCGACTGGCTATTCTCAATGTCAAATTGGTACGCGATAAGATTACTACGCCAATCACTTTTGACTCATACAGCACTGGACAAGATCCTTCTGTTAAAAAACATTGTGTAAAATGTAAAAGTTAATGAACTTTCACTTCCAGCACACCATCGGATCGGACCAATTAGTACTTCAGGGCCCATGCAAAAATCTTTGCCAGACCTCGCATGTGAGGCAAGCACTCATGCCAGGGACTGAGAAGCTTCAGGGCGACACCTACACTCTTTTGCTTTAGTAGGCTCTGAAGTTGCGGTTGTGAGCAAGGGAACTTGAGGCCTTTGTATGTCAACATTTGAAGCGAGTCATGGACCACAGTGCCAGCTCTTTCTTATCCAAGAGTCTTGTAGAATATTTATGTAAAGAGAAATCTCAAGTGGGAAATCACGTAGTAAGCATGGGTATGCGACTGAATCAGTATGTGTTAAATAAATACACCTGCTAGTCGACGTGACATCACCTTTCATCGCTTTTGAGTTGATCTTCAACATCAAGCTCCTCATTGCTTGGCGTTTTGCACTACTCCACTGCTGCCCACTTGCTGCCATCTGCAGCCCACCCACGCCCTCCTCTCCAGCAGCTCTTCCTTGACTGTGAAAATGTCTCTTCACTGCTACCAGCTCCCTCACTAACTCCCCTTTGACTGTTATCAACTCTTCCTTCACTGCTACCAGCTCCCTCACTAACTCCCCTTTGACTGTTATCAACTCTTCCTTCACTGCTACCAGCTCCCTCACTAACTCCCCTTTGACTGTTATCAACTCTTCCTTCACTGCTACCAGCTCCCTCACTAACTCCCCTTTGACTGTTATCAACTCTTCCTTCACTGCTGCTACCAGCTCCCTCACTAACTCCCCTTTGACTGTTATCAACTCTTCCTTCACTGCTGCTACCAACTCCTTCACATTTATCACCCCTAGCTCTTTCTCCTCCACTCGTCCTCTCGATTCTTTCGACTCCACTGCTCTCATTCTCTCAGCCTCCTCTAGCCCATTCCTTGTCTCCTCCAGTTCCCTCCTTATCCGCTCCAGCTGCCCTTCAAGAGCACTCATCCGAGCTTCCATGGCCACTCTCAGGGCGTCGACTGCCTCCTGGTGCACTGAAAGTATGGAATCCATTCCATGCTCTCTCGGGCTGAGAAAACACAGAAGGGTAGGAGGTCAATCAATATAGAGATTAAGACTTCAAAACAATTAGAAAAAAAATCAGTGAGATATGACACGTGTGGATGAAAAGAGATTGAGAGACAAGGGCACAGATTGTAAATATGTGTGAACATATTGTGGGCGAGGCGGAGCACTTTCACAGGGTTTTGAGATAAAGAGTTGAGATTGCATGTTCCTGTGGGATGGAGGGAGAGGGAGGCAGAGGCGCCACGGCACAGATATTGAGTGCAGGGAGAAGGGAAGAGATGACGTTTGCGTCGACTCAAAGGGCAGGGGAGGGGCCATGACACATGCATTGAGGGCAGAGAGAAGGGATGATAGAGGGGACAAGAGGGGAGGACTGGAAAGAAAGGGACGGCAACGGGAAAGGGAGAGGGAAAGAGAGTGGGAAGTGAGGGAAAGAAAGGTCGGCAAGTGAGCGGGGCAAAGAGAGGCAGAGAGGACATGAGATATGAGATGAGAGGAAGGGATGTGAGATGAAGGAAGAGATGTGAGATAATAGGAAGAGATGTGAGATGAAGGAAGAGATGTGAGATAATAGGAAGAGATGTGAGATGAAGGAAGAGATGTGAGATAATAGGAAGAGATGTGAGATGAAGGAAGAGATGTGAGATAATAGGAAGAGATGTGAGATGAAGGAAGAGATGTGAGATGAGAAGAAGCGATAAAGGGAAACGGCGAAGAGAACAAGGAAGAGTTGCATGCCAGGCCAAGGAAGAGTTGCATGCCAGGCCAAGGAAGAGTTGCATGCCAGGCCAAGGAAGAGTTGCATGCCAGGCCAAGGAAGAGTTGCATGCCAGGCCAAGGAAGAGTTGCATGCCAGGCCAAGGAAGAGTTGCATGCCAGGCCAAGGAAGAGTTGCATGCCAGGCCAAGGAAGAGTTGCATGCCAGGCCAAGGAAGAGTTGCATGCCAGGCCAAGGAAGAGTTGCATGCCAGGCCAAGGAAGAGTTGCATGCCAGGCCAAGGAAGAGTTGCATGCCAGGCCAAGGAAGAGTTGCATGCCAGGCCAAGGAAGAGTTGCATGCCAGGCCAAGGAAGAGTTGCATGCCAGGCCAAGGAAGAGTTGCATGCCAGGCCAAGGAAGAGTTGCATGCCAGGCCAAGGAAGAGTTGCATGCCAGGCCAAGGAAGAGTTGCATGCCAGGCCAAGGAAGAGTTGCATGCCAGGCCAAGGAAGAGTTGCATGCCAGGCCAAGGAAGAGTTGCATGCCAGGCCAAGGAAGAGTTGCATGCCAGGCCAAGGAAGAGTTGCATGCCAGGCCAAGGAAGAGTTGCATGCCAGGCCAAGGAAGAGTTGCATGCCAGGCCAAGGAAGAGTTGCATGCCAGGCCAAGGAAGAGTTGCATGCCAGGCCAAGGAAGAGTTGCATGCCAGGCCAAGGAAGAGTTGCATGCCAGGCCAAGGAAGAGTTGCATGCCAGGCCAAGGAAGAGTTGCATGCCAGGCCAAGGAAGAGTTGCATGCCAGGCCAAGGAAGAGTTGCATGCCAGGCCAAGGAAGAGTTGCATGCCAGGCCAAGGAAGAGTTGCATGCCAGGCCAAGGAAGAGTTGCATGCCAGGCCAAGGAAGAGTTGCATGCCAGGCCAAGGAAGAGTTGCATGCCAGGCCAAGGAAGAGTTGCATGCCAGGCCCACCCACGTGACTTTTGGGTCGACTCAAAACGCCTGAAAGAAATATGACATACCAGGAAGGAAGCAGATGCACTTTTCAGCCTCAGCAGCCCATCTTTCAACGCCAAGCCCTGCCGGCCCACCCACGCTCTGGCCTGTGCTTGAGAGACACCCGTCCACCAGAGCAGCGCCGTGACAATTGTTGCGATTGAACAGAACATTTGCACCTGGTGCTGGTGTTGGTGTGATATTGGTGTTAGTATTGTTGTTGGAATTTTAGCAGGTTTTGGTGTTGAATCAGTGAAATTGGGAGCGTGCCACATGCATGGGCTCTGAGCCTTGCGGGTAGAATGACACATACATAAACGGCACGGGAACGCCGTGCCTGGACTGAAACCACTGTATAACGAAGACATACAAAAGAAGCTCATGATTGATTGACTTCCCCTTCACTCACGAGAGTCAGCAGGAGGTGTAGAGCCGTGGCTGGGAAGTACACGTGTTGAACAGAGGAGTCAGGCACCTGAGCCTGGAGATGAGGCACACACATGGGAAGGACGGGTAGTGACGAGTGATAGGGCAGCCGAGTAGGTGATAAGAGTTGGTTCCCTGGCCACCAGAGAAGCGCCGCATGTGTTGGTGCATCTTGCATGCATGCAGGCACGCACACCAGCATCACTCATTGGTGCTCCTGACGGCAAACGCCTGACTCAAAACCTGAAGCAGCATTACTCATGAGTGCTCCTGGTGGAAAACACCTGACTCAAACCTGTAGCAATCATGAGGGCTTCTGTCTCAATTCAAGGGGTCCCCATTGATACAACCAGAAGGCACCACCAGAAGCTAAGAGGCTGTTGCAAATGAATTTGAAGCAGGCAGAAATTGAAGTTGCGCGGCATTGCAAATGTGCATGCTTGCCACCACACCACAGCACACAACACCACACCACACCACACCACACCACACCACACCACACCACACCACACCACACCACACCACACCACACCACACCGCACCACACCACATCTCACCACACCACACTTGGGGAACTAACCACACTCTCTTGTTCGCAATGCTTAAACTGCACATGATTTCTCACGTTCTGTGTGACCGTCTGGTGCGATTCGTTTCAGCCTGGCAGCAGCATGAGTCCGGTCATGGCAGCACCAGCACATGCGCCCAGCATCCCTGTCAGCATCACGGCCATTTCATCGATCCTCCCGGCCATTGGCAGCAGCTGATCTCCGTGTTGATGTAGCCTGTGCGGGTAGCAGGATTAGCAAGATGAGCACGGGGAGGAAAAAACGCACACTCTGTTTGCAACGTCTAAAATGCACGCACGTGCTTGCTCACGTTCTGTGTGAACGTCTGGTGCAGCAGACGAGTGCAGTCATGGCAGCACCAGCTAGTGCAGCTAGCAGCCCTGTCAGCAGCACGACCGTTTGATCCATCCTCCCGGCCATGAGCAGCAACGGAGGTCTCAATAATGTAGCCTGTGTGGGTAACGGGAGCAGCAAGATGAGGGGGGAGGGAGGAGGGGAGGGGTAGCGGAGAGAGCGAGGAGGCACGATGAAGAGGAAAACTGGTCGCAAAAGCAAATATGGATTTCGATTAACGCGGAGGGATGGACGGGGGAGAGGGAGGATGAAGTGACGGAGACAGAAAGAGATGGCAGGCCAAACGGGAGGCGAGGTAAAGGGAGTGGCACGCAAGACGGAACACGGGCATGGGGCAGAGGTGAGGTGAGGGTACGGAGGCGAGCAGAAGCGAACGGGAGGCTGACTTGCCGTGAAATAAAAGATGCGTACTTTTATCATCTACAAAACGTAATTTCAGAATAATCATGCTATGCATCACCGACATTGGCCAACGAGGTGGTAACACAGGGGAACAGCTACAAAATCGAAAATGAAGAGGTGATACGAAAGAAGCTAATGCAAAGTGAAGAGCGCGCGGTGAGGAGCTGGCAGAAGGGCGGAAGTGGCAAAGCGAACAAGTAAAACGAAACCGGACTGCGAAACGGATGTGCGGCCTTCAACATACCATGCACCAGATAACATGTTTTCCAAGTTCACCCCTCCACTAGATATGCACCTAAGTACGGTCAATTCGCTTTGCGGCAGGTAGGGGCCTTACTGTGCAATCACGCTTCTTCAAACAGAGCCGTCGCGACTATTGCCGGGCAAGCGGAATCGTTTGACGACCCAGTTCGGAACCGAAGCTCGGACGGCGAAACGAGCACCAGGCGTCCTTCAACACCTAAAACAAATTTCGTTGCAAGGGAGAAAAGAGGCCTACAGTGATCGCTGAATTCGATAGAGCGATCGCGGGAAGGAGGATCTCAAGCGTCGACGGCGAGGAATGGGACAGAGGCGGGAAACGAAACCGGCGCGCTGATAGCAGCAGGCGATGGAATGGGTCGACATGATGGCTTCAGCGGGTGACGCTCGTACGCTGATACGCCACACGTGGACACGATGATGACGGATGGGTGCGTCACCATGCCCGTCGGATGCGATGACATCGAGGCGACACGACTTGACAAAAGGTGTGAGTGAATGCATTGAGCAAGGGCGGTACAAGTGAAAGCGATAGTCATCACGCCTAGCGACGGGAGAATAGAGGAAACCACGCCGTGCGATGAGAGCTTCACACCTTGCGATGATCGCCTCACTGTCGCACGGCTAGGTTTCGCGATATGGTCTCGCAATGCACTTCGCAGAGTCATATATTTTCGTGGAGGACCGACCCAGACGAGGAGCCATCACTACAGTGTTGCCGATCTGTACGCGATAACGTTCGTGCGGAACTTTTGGAACTCTTGTATAAAAGCGTGGTTCAAAGATTACACAATTCTCAGCCAGCAAACAAATACTAAGCCAGCAAAGGTCCAGGTTGAATCTAGGGGCGTGATCCAAGCTTGAACCACGTCAACCTCCCATGCACCGTGACAGCAGCAGATATCCTGGTAGTCACAATACTCAGACTGGAATGACAATAAGCTAGTAATCACCACAAATAACGTTGCGCAGAATTTCAAACTTTATCACCACCACGAATAAACACCCGGCAAAACTACAAACCTAATCACCACAAATTAAGCCGGGCAAAACTTTAAAACCTAAGCACCACGAAAAACGCCGGGCGGAAGGCCATCCGTCACTTCCACTCCAGGAAGGATGGTCCTCAACAATGTCTGAAAGCTGCCATGGAACGCTTTAATCTGCTTCAAACGGGATAACTTTCCCAAAAGCTGCACACTCTTTTTCGCCGCTACAGAACTGTTGAAATCTAGAAACTCCAGAGCAGTTAGACACTGTACATGCTCCATGCCAGCATCAGTGATTGTATCTGGGAGGATGAGCATTTTGAACCTGCTCAAAGGTATTAGAAATTGCAACCCCTCATCTTTAACACCACTTCCGAACAGGTACAGCTCCTCAAGGCTTGACATCCCCCCCACGTGCACCATGCCAGCACACGTCACCTTCCAGCACTTGTATAATATCAAAGTCTTGAGGGAAGTGAGGCACGTCAAGTGCATCAGGCCAGAATCAGTCACCCCAGTGTGGTTGAGATAAAGAAATTTCAGGGTCCGTACTCTCCCAATGCCCTCCAATGTGCTGTCATTGACTAAGCTGCTTTTCAGCTCCAGGCGCTCCAGTTGTGGCAGTGAGTAGAGACACTTGATGCCTTCAGAGCTGAACCCTGATGTCACATCGATGTGCACGTGCTTGAGGTGAGTCATGGTGGCCACTTGGAGAAGGTAGGAGTCTGAAAGGCCAGAGAGGGCTTTCAGATCAAGAGTTGTATCGAGATGCCTCGATGCAGGGCACGGCATCGCTGCTGAATCATTCAAATTCGCTCTTTTCCCGGCACCTCCCCTTCCACGCCCACCGTTTCCTCCTCCACTTTCTGCAAGCAGTCCTGCTGTTCTAACATCTTCTTTTTCACTTCCATAAACGCTCCTTCCACTGTTTCCAGCTCTCCCTTTACTGTTTCCAGCGCCACTTTCACTGTCGCCAGCTCACCCTTCACTGTCGCCAGCTCACCCTTCACTGTCGCCAACTCACCCTTCACTGTCGCCAGCTCACCCTTCACTGTCGCCAGCTCTCCCTTTACTGTCACCATCTCTCCCTTTACTGTCCCTAGCTCTCCCTTTACTGTCGCCAGCTCTCCCTTCATTGTCGAGAGCTCTCCCCTTACAGTAACCAGTTCCTCCTTTACCGCCACCAGCTCCCCTCGCATTATCCCTCTCACTAGAATGATCTCTTTTGCCCTTCTGCTCTCAGCATCCTTCCATCCCCTCCGTGTCTCCTCCAGCTGCCCTTCCAGCGCCCTCAGCCTCATCTCCATCGCCAGCACCAACCCATCGGTTCCCCCCTGGTGCCCTGAACAACTCCCAACACCCTCGTTCTCTCCACGCATTCCGAATCTGCACTCAGCAGCACCACAACCACATGAATTTGACAAAAAGGGAAGGTTGATTTGAGAAGCACCGTTGAGAGTGAGTGGAATGTAGAAGGATAACAGATCATAAACGTGTACGGATTCTAGATCATGATGATACGAGGCTCTTATTTGAGATGGTCGAGAGGGGAACAAGCAGGAGGAGTTGGCGAACGATCAGGATGCGGGGTACGATTGAGAGCTGATGAAGAAACGGGCACGAGAGGTCGGGAGGAGAGAGAGAAAAGAGGCACAGGTGTGAAGGTAGCAGATGCTGTCAGGTAACGACGGAGAGAGCAAGAAAGGCGAGGATAACAGATTCTGTCAGTTCATGAAGAGAGAAACTAGGGGGGCGAGAGTAGTAGGAGCAGGGTAATTTCACAAAGAACTTAGCCCAAAAACAATGTGTCGAGAATCGCCGGAAAGGTGAGTGCGAAGAGGTAACCAAGAAGATAAAGAAAAAACGCCGGAATTGAGGGGCAAGTGCGTTCAGATCCAAGCCCGGTAATCTGGCGCTTCCTGCTCTCTAAGGAATTTATGACTGTAACATGAGCTGCGACGATATAGGTGGATGCGTCGAGATACGCGCAAACAATGGACGCTCAGCTAATTAGAGGCGAGAGACACCCGTCCTTAGGACCTACCGATCGTGTAATTTGCTTACATCGAAAGTGACGAAAACCGACGACGCCTAACGACAGATAAGAATCTACCGTATGCCTTGCGTTGGGGACTCACGCCTTGCAATAGAGGAATTTCGGCCTTTTGCGACTGCCATTCCATGCCTTGTGACTGGTATGTCTGCGAGCGATGATGGATGGACTCGTTCACGCCTCACACGGTTGTCGTGGGAGGAAACAAAATTTGGCATGAACCTGAACCTGACAAGTTCGCCTGGGTTTCGGTATCGCAACGCACTTCGCGAGCCATGCTTTATCACAATGATTCACGAAGCGTATGGAGCAACAGAGGCGGAGGTTTGGCTCGCGATAGCTATGAGTTGTAACTTGCGAATAGCAATTCACTTTGTCAAATCGGTACGCGATAAGATTACTACGCAAGACTCGAAATGAAAATGATTCATCGTACAATATTCACTTTCCATCTTTGAACCTCTTACCAAACCAAATACGGATCAAGGCACCATAGTATTTTGTTGGAGGATTGAGGAAATGATGGGCTAGAGTGTCGAGAGAGTTTGGTACAAGGGAGAGAACCCTAAGGGGTTGTACTCCACATTATCTACCCCACTACAGCCTACCCACAACTATAACATATAAATATATTTGACATATTTCACCCACATTCTCTTACAGATACACAACTATGACAGATATATATATATATATATATATATATTTGACACACCCCCATAGGCAAAGTGGGGGAGAACAAGGGGTCACAAGACCAGTCAAGAGAAGCAAAGCAAGCTCAGGGTGGATCACAACGTCACCACACACTCCAAGCACAGACAAAGGGCCACAAGGCCAGTTCACATGTAGAGGTATATATCGAACAGCAATAGTACAGTGTTCACAACCTAGCAAGAGCAAGCAAGCAGGTATATATATAAATCACAGTACAACCAAGGTCACGAGGTGAGCAAGTGAGACGAAACAGGCACAAGGCCTAGCATAGTACAGAAGCGCCGATGATCACCAGACGGAAGCCCTTGGTGAATATATCAGCAGTGTTGGCCCAGGTGGCCACGTAAGCAACACGAAGCTGACCACGCTGCTGCAGCTCTCGAGCAAGGAATTAACGCAGAGCGATGTGCTTCGTTCTGTGCTCCAGCATGTGCTCCTGACACAAGGTAATGGCAGCTTTGTTGTCTACGTACAGAACTGGAGGAGAACGAGGCCTCTCTCCCAAGTCGGTCAGCAGGTAGGTGAGCCAGCGTAACTCCTGTGCAGCCATGGCTGTGGCGTAGATCTCAGCCTCACAACTGGAGCTGAGAACAGAAGATGAGCGGGTAGACCGCCAAGAAACAGAGCCGCAACCAAGGCTGAAGGTGTAACCCTGTGATGACCGCTGTGTAGCCAAGTCGTCAACCCAAGACGCGTCTGAGTGTCCAGTGAGGACAACCTCACCCCGTCCTCCAAGCACGAGCCCCATGCCCGACGTACTGCACAAGTAGCGTAACACCCTCTTAGCAGCATCCACGTGCTCTCGCCGGTGTCTCCCAGGCGCAACGTAACGAGCCAGGATGCTAAGAGGGTAGGCAAGGTCAGGTCGAGTGCAGGTCATCAGGTACATGAGGCAGCCCACAAGCTCTGGATACGGGCCACTCGGCTCTACGGACTCATCCGAAGGTAGAGCTGAGAGCGAGTGACCGGTAGCCATAGGAGTGGACAGTGGCGAGGACCAAGTGAAGCCGAAGCGCTGAAGGACCTGCTGCACCATGTGTGACTGAGTCAGTGTGATGGTGCGCCGTGCTCTGTCCCGGGTAATCTGCAAGCCAAGGTAGCTGCGCAGCTCACCCAGGTCTGTGCACGTGTGTCTCTTCTGCAGCTCCGACTTCACAAGGGCGAGTGCCTCAGTGTCAGCAGTAGCAAAGACCAAGTCGTCGACGTACACGAGGATGTAGAACGGCGGCAGCGAAGTGTCGGTGCGCAGAAACAGCGACGGGCCAGCAGTCGAAGGAGCAAACCCAAGAGCCGCAAGTGTCGTCCTCAGTGTGTCGTGCCACTCACGAGGTGCCTGGCGGAGACCGTAGACTGGCCGCCGGAGGCTCCACTAGGTACCAGGAGGAAACGACCCAGTGAAGCCAGGTGGGCGGCGCAGCCAGATCTCTTCGTGCAGGCTGCCCTGTAAGAAGGCTGTGCTGAAGTCAAGAGAGTGAAGCTCGTAGTCACGCTGAGCAGCAACGTGCAGCAGCACCCGAAGAGTGGTCATCTTCGGGGTGGGGGAGAAGGTCTGGAAGAAGTCAACTCCCTGTTGCTGACTGAAGCCTCGTGCAACATAACGAGCCTTGAAGACAGGCGGAGAACCCGGCGGCCGCTTCACCCTGAAAATCCACATGCCATCGACGATGTTCGCCCCAGGAGGGAGAACCTCATCGACGTAAGTGCCTGTGGACTTCCAGGATGCCATCTCTGCATCCATGGCTGTCTGCCACTGAGAGGAGTAGGGACCCGTAATCGCATCTACGTAAGAGCGCGGGGTTGGGATGTCTGGTGCATCCGGATCTCCCTCAGGGGCAAGCAGCATGGCCACGAGATGAGGTACAGCAGCTGCAAGACACTCAAAGTCCTCCTGCCTGTCCTCAAGGACGTCTGTGCCGAGAGCACACTCAACCCCGACGGACGGAGGACAGACAGACTCAGACTCAACAACAAGACTAGCAGCGTAGTCTAGACGACAGGCAGCAGCAAAGTCCGCAAGCTGAGAGACTAAGGCAGACGCAGCAGCAGACTCAAACGACGGGTCAGTGACAACAGTGGCGAGCAGACGCGTGACAGTAGGGTGAGCAGCACGAACCAGGTCAGACTCAGGGTCCGGAACGTCAGGCAGAGAAGACGCAGGAGGAGACGGCAGGGGAACACACTGTGGAACAGAGGAAGGACGAAGTGCCATGGCGTGCGTGCCAGGGACGGGAGGCGGACGCTCACGAGGAACACGACGACCCGTGCGACGTGCGCGATCAGGCGAGGCAGGACGAGACGCAGGCTCACGACGCTTTGTAAGCGAGTCTGTTTGCTAAGTGTAAGGAGAAGGAGCAGGCAGTGGGGAGCCTGGCTGTAACGGGAGGCCAGTAGAAGACGGGAGGCTAAGAACCTGGCGAAGCACGGAGTCAGGCGGTGGCAGAGACGACGGTGACGGCGGAGCGAAGAACAGTCGCGACGGTGCAGTGCCACCAGTACCGGTAGCTCCAGCGCCTCCAGTAGCTCCAGAACCTCCAGCTCGAGCGCCTCCAGCAGCACCACCTCCAGCTCCAGGGACTCCAGCAGCAGTACCTCCAGCTCCAGCGCCTCCAGCAGCTCCAGAACCTCCAGCTCTAGCGCCACCAGTAGCAGCACCCCCAGAACCGGCACCTCCAGCCTCAAGGTCCCCAACTCCAGGGTCGACAGGACCAGCGCCAGGGCCTCTAGCAGCAGCACCCCCAGAACCGGCACCTCCAGCTCCAGGGTCTCCAACGCCAGGGTCGACAGCACCAGCTCCAGAGCCTCCAGCTCCAGGACCTCCAGCAGCAGCACCCCCAGAACCGGCACCTCCAGCTCCAGGGTCTCCAACGCCAGGGTTGACAGCACCAGCTCCAGGGCCTCCAGCCCCAGTACCTCCAGCAGCAGCACCCCCAAAACCGACACCTCCAGCTCCAGGAGCACTACCAGTCCCGGCAGCTCCAGTACCTCCAGTACGAGCACCTCCAGGACCAGAGACACCAGCACTCCCAGTGCCTCCATGACAAGGAGCTTCAGCAACACGACTCCTCAAGCAGGTACGCGACGCAAGCCACGCTCGTGCCTGCTGTTGTGAGACAGGCCCGCGTCGTGAAACGAGACCCAGAGGAACGCCAGCAGACCAGCACCCCCAGGCTCCGCACCCCCCGGCACCACACGGATGGGCTCAGCACCCCCAGACTCCGCACGCGCAGGCTCAGCACCCCCAGGCTCCGCATTCCCCAGCACCTCACGTGTAGGCTCAGCACCCCCAGAAGCAGCACCCCCAGCAGTACCTCACGCAGCAGCACCTGAATCGCTAGTGACCTCCACAGGCTCAGCCAAGGGGGGCGGGTCTACCTGAGACACACCTGAAGGAGCAGGACCCTGAGGGGGGAGGGGGTTTACCGGAGGGGGACCTGGAGCGAGGAAAAGCGGTGGGGGAGGGAGAGGGGCAGTGCGGTAGGGGAAGAGACGGTAGAAAGGAACCGACTCGTCAAAGGTGACGTCCTGAGAGGCGAAGACACGGCGCGAGGTGGGGTGGTAAAACTGCCAGCCAGGCGCGTCAGAGACAAAGCCAAGGAAGACACAGGGAATGGTGCGGGAGGAGAGCTTGTCCGCGAACGTATCGTGGACAAGGGCACGAGCACCCCAGACTCAGAAGCGCGACGCATCGCCAACCTCCCCCGTCCAACGCAGTGTGGGCGAGGTCTCCGGCAAGGAGACATGGGGGCAGAGGTTGAGCTGCTGCGCGGCGTACCGGACCGCAAACGGCCACAGAAAATGGGGAGCCGCCGCATGGATCAAGGAGGTACAAGCGACCTCCATGACCAAGCCAATGTGGCGTTCAGCAACCCCATTTTGCTGCGGTGAGCCCAGAAGCGTGAACGACTGCTCGATGCCCTCCCTCTGACAGAAGGCCCGCAAGAGGTCGGAGGTGAACTCACCACCTCTGTCAGAGTGCAGACGCAGGACAGGAAGGTACATCCGGAACCTCCGGCGGAGCTGGAGACGAACTGCTCGGATCCAAGGGATCAGGACAGCAGAGACCTCACCCTTGGTGCGCAAGGGGAAGACCGTGGTGTAACGCGAGTAGTCGTCGACAACCAGCAGAAAGTACCGCTCACCGCCCTGTCCACGAACGCGGGCTGGGCCCCACACGTCCAGGTGGAGGGTCTGCAGGGGAGCCTCTGTCGGGGGAAACGAGGAGGAGTGAGGAGCGGCGTGCTGCCGCCCCTCGACGCAAGGAAGGCAGGGCGGCGCAGGCGAGGCAGGGAGGGGAGGGAGAGACCTGGGAAGACCAGACGTGGCAAGGAGGGGTGACCCAGACGGTGGTGCCAGAGAAGAGTCTGGTGCGATAGGGAGCGACACTCACAAGGGGAGGCTACCAGACCTGACGCAGACACCTGACCGACAGCAGCGACCTGAGGAGACACAGTCGTCAGTGTGTAAAGACTCGACCCTGGCCGACGGGTGAAGGTGGTCAGGTGACGGCCAGTCCTGGAGCACGTACAGATCGCCACACGCTGTCCTCCAGGGGTAAAGGTGTCAACCCAATGATCCTGGAGGGCTGCGTTGCTCACCAAGTTCGTCGAGAACGAGGGGAGGTGGAGACCTGACAGTGAGCCAGACGGGACCGCCGGGCACGGAAGCACAGTGGTGGACCGTGCAAGAACTGGGCCCACGGAGGGGTCAGCCAGAGAGACTGCGACAGGCGCAGGGAGCGGTGTGAGTGCAGTACTGTCACGGAAGAAGCAGCGAGAAGCACCTGAATCAAGCGTGAAGGTGTGCAAGGCCTCAGCAGACGCAGTACCTGAGAGAGCAGACTCGCTCGCACCTAAGGCAGCAGCCTCTATACCTGTGGCAGGTGTGAAGGTGTGCAAGGCCTCAGCAGGCGCAGTACCTGAGAGAGCAGACTCGCTCGCACCTGAGGCAGCGGCCTCTATACCAGGGTCAGGCGGCATACACAGGTAACAGTCACCATCAGCACTAACTTCCAATGCATACATAGCAGAGATAATAGCATCAAAGTCAAGAGCAAAAACATCTACACCAGCCTTCCACAGCTCATGCCAGCGAGGGCGCTCATACTCATCGCCCATCTCCTCACGCCAGGCGTCGTCAAGGCGGGAGAAGCAGCGGTGCTAGGTGTGGAACTTGTTGCACGTCTGACCCTTGCGGTCACCTGTGCGAATGACATATGGGCAGCGACCACCACCCCCAGACTTCCCACGCTGAGCAAGCCACTCACGAAGCTGCTGTGACGTTTGGGGACGCTGCTGCTGCTGCTGGCTCTGGCCAGCGCCAGTGCCTCCACCCCGACCGCCACCGCCGCCGCCACCACCGCCCCGGCCGCCACCGCTGCCGCCACCGCCGCCGCCACCCCCTTTGCCACCACTGCCTCCACCGCCGCTACCACTCCCGCCAGCACTCCTGCCCCCAGTCCCTCCGCCACCTCCTCCTCCTCCACCTCCTCCACCACCACCCCCCCCAGTGCCACCTCCGCTACCCTTGGCTCCTTTGCCCTTGCCGTTGCGACGCCTCCCACTAGAAGCAGAAGCAGCACCAGCAGACTCAGCACCAAGGAAGTCAACAGCAGCAGTAGTAGCAAAGGAGGGGGCGAGGGGAGAGGGAGAGCACCCCTCGAAGATGGAGGTGCGGGGAGCGCCGCGAGCAGCACCTACAGCAACAATGTTTTTCTCTGCTGCAAGGAGGCGCTCCTCTAGGAGGTCTACAGTGAGGTCGGTAGGACTGCGAGCGAGAAAACAGTCCCTGACCGAGCTCAGAGAGTCAGGGAGGCGGGTAACTATGAAGTGGAAGGTCCAGTACATCGGAGGCGGGTTCTTAGCACAGAACTCTGTGGGGAGGGCGGCGCGAAGGCGAGTGTCGCTAGTGCGAAGGTGGATGATGAGATCGGCAACCGTGGCAAAAGTGGGCAGCTCAGGAAACAGATAGGGCAGCATGAGGGGGCTAAGCTCAGCTGTGGCAGGAGAGGTGTATCGAGCAACTACAGCGTCGTACAGGGCCTTAGCGGTTTTGTGCTCGCCAAAGTGCGTGAGCTCGGCTAACGGCAGGTGGTTGCGAACGGCTAGGCGAGCAGCAGCGTCACGAGTCTGCCACTGGGAATGGGCACTAAGCTCAGCGGTGGCAGCAGGAGCAACTGAGGCGCCAGTGGCGTGGTCATAGTGAGAGACATTGTCCTTGCTATCGCTCATCAGGAACAGCTGCAGGTCATCGAGCCAGGCGTCGAACTGAATCGGGTGGCCCTCAGCATCGAACGACAGAACGCGGAGGGTGGCCATCGCTGTCGGCGCGGGACTAGCAGGGCAGAGCAATGGCAGGCAAGAAGCAGCAGCAGGGGCGGCACGCTAGAGCGCAGCAGGCAGCCGCGGCAGGGGCAGGCGGCGCACGGGGCTACAGGCGGCCGGCAGGGCAGCAGGGCAAGCCGCGTGCAGGGCGTAGCAGGCGGCTGCGGCAGCAGGGCGGGCGGCGTAGCAGGCAGCCGCGGCAGAGGCAGGCGGCGCGGGAGGCTACAAGCGGCCAGCAGGGCAGCAGGGCAGGCCGCGCGCAGGGCGTAGTGGGCGGCTGCAGGAAGAGGGCGGGCGGTGCACGATGGCAGCAGGCAGCCGCGACAGCAGGGCGGGCAGCTCGCGGGGCGTAGCAGGCAGCCGCGGCAGCGCGCAAGCTGCTAGCGTGCAGGCTGCGCGTGCAGCTGGCGGGTCGCGCGGGCTGCTAGCGGGCTGCGCGCGGGCCAGTAGAGGCGACGCGAGGGTCGCGCGGGCTGCTAGCGGGCTGCGCGCGGGCCAGCAGAGGCGACGCGCGGGTCGCGCGGGCAGCTAGCGGGCAGCGCGCGGGCCAGCAGAGGTGACGCGCGGGTCGCGCGAGCTGCTAGCGGCGCGGCGCAGGGAAAAGCAGGGCGTGCGCGGGGCTGCGCTACGCAGGGCAGGGTAGGCAGGGCGCAAGGTAATGCGGTAACCGTAGGGTGGGCCCGAAAAAAAGGCTACTAAGGTCCTAAGGACCTCCTGCTCTATACCATGTTGGAGGATTGAGGAAGTGATGGGCTAGAGTGTCGAGAGAGTTTGGTACAAGGGAGAGAACCCTAAGGGGTTGTACTCCACATTATCTACCCCACTACAGCCTACCCACAACTATAACATATATATATGTTTGACATATTTCACCCACATTCTCTTACAGATAATTAGGCGCAAGGGGGAACTTCAAGTTGTTCAAGCGGTTCAAGAGTAACAAGCTGCGTTAATAGGTAAGTTTCCTCAGAGTCAAACCCCTCCAGTGAATGAAACTGTCAATAAGTTGCCCGCAACTGTCATAATACCGAGCTTGAACATACCGTAGGTGACATAGCAGATGCGCTCGCAAGACTCGCCAACTGACTTAATCACCAAGAACAACACCGGGCGGAAGATCACCACTCACTTCCACTCCAGGAAGGATGGTCCTCAACTGTGCCTGAAAGTCGTCACCATAAGCTTTAATCCGCTTTAAACAAGGTAACCTTCCCAACAGCTTCACACCCTTTTCTTCCGCTACAGAATTGTTGAAATCTAAAAACTCCAGAGCATTTAGCCACTGGATGTGCTCCATGCCAACATCTGTGATCTTATCCGGGAGGATGAGCATTTTGAGCTTGCTCGAAGGTGCCAGATGTCTTTTACTCCGCTTCCATACAAATACAGCTCCTCGAGGCTTGTTAGCTTCCCCACGTGAACCATGCCAGCACATGTCACCCATATGCACTTGTAGAATATCAAGGTCTTGAGAGACGTAATACTGGTCAGGTGGTCCACGCCCGCATCAGTCACATTGGTGCGGTTGAGGTAGACCAGCTTCAGGGTACTGCTAGCCGCCACAATGCCATCCAACGTGCTGTTGGTGACAGCGCTGCCCTTCAGCTCCAGGCTCTCCAGCTGCGGAAGGGAATAAAGGCACTTGATGCCGTCAGAGGAGAAGCCTGCTGAGGTTTCGATGTGCACGTGCTTGAGGTGAGTCATGGTGGCCACGTGGCGAAGGAGGGTATCTGAGAGGTTGGAGAGGCCTTTTAGATCCAAAGTTGTCTTGGGTGTTGCCGCATGGATCCTCTGAGAGTAAAGGGGGAAAAGAGAAATCAATCACAGCCATATCAAGAAACGATCCTCAGCCCCCCGTTCCCCATATTGCATACATACATCGATTAAACCTACCCTATGACCCTCGCTCCCCAACTCCCCCACTGCCCCAATCCCCGCCTCCCCCCTTCCCATCATTCATTCTGTCCTCCCACCCTTTCCCATCCTTTCCCACCTACCTTTCTCGACTCGAGCCACCCGCAATCGTACACACCTGCCAGAACAGTTTGCGATCCCCTTCGCTCTTCTTGAGCTCCTCTTCAACGTCAAACTTCACATGCTTCGATGCCAGACAGATCAGCGCTGCTGCCTCATCCCATTTCACTGCTTTCCTCCTCATCTTCTTCACCTCCTCCTCCAAAGCCAGCTTTTCCGTCTCCACTTTCTGCAGCCACTCCTTTTGTTCAGCCAGATCCCTTATTGCTTCCTTCAACCCCCCTTTCACCGTTTCCAGCTCCCCCCTTGTTGCTTCCAACTCCCCTTTCACTGTCACCACCATCTCTCCCGTTGTTGTTGACAGCTCCCCTTGCGCTGTCACTAATGCTTCGTTAACTGATTTCAAATCCCCTTTCACAGTCGCCATCTCTCCCCTGCTTGTTACAAGCTCTCCTTTTACTGTCACAAAATCCCCCTTAACTGTTTTCAACTCCCCTTTCAAAGTCGCCAGATCTCCCCTTGTTGCAAGCTCCCCCTTCGCTGTCAGTAATTCCCCTTTAACTGTTTCCAGTCCACCCTTTACTGTCACCAGCTCTTCTGTTGCTGTTGCCAGCTTCCTTTTTACCGTCACTAACTCCCCCTTAACACTTTCCACCTCCCCTTTCACTTTCACAAGCTCTTCTGTTGTTGATACCAACTCCCTTTTTGAAATCACTAAGTCCCCCTTGACTCTTTCCAACTCCCCTTTCACTCTCGCCACCTCTCCAAGTACTGTCGTCATCTCTCCCCTTGCCGTCACCAGCTCCCCTCTTGCTGTCGCTAATTCCCCCCTTACCGTCACCAGCTCCCCCCTTACAGTTACCAGTTCCCCCTTTACTGTCACCAGCTCACCTCGCAAATTCACCATTTCCCCCTTCACAAACACCAGCTCCTCTGCTCGGCGTCTCTCAGCCTCCTCCAGTCCCCTCCGTGTCTCCTCCAGCTGCCGTTCCAGCGCCCTCAGCCTCATCTCCATCGCCAGCACCACCCCATCGCTTCCCGATTGGTGCCCTGATGGACTCTCCGCGTCCTTGTTGTCTCCCCGCATTTTGACGCTGCACACGAAAGCACCAAGGCTTCACGGACGCTTATAAGTTGAACAATGAACACGATGAGCGCTTTCAAATTTCAGCACATGACAACAGAAAGTGATGCCTACAAAAGTCTTTACAAGTACAGTATGAGTAAAAAACTAGTACTTGGAATGCAAAACATGAATTTTTCGCATTTGTAAACTTGAGAGTAAGGCAATAGGCTTGTAGAGGCGAAGAGGGCGAAGAGGCAGGGAGGAAATGAATGGGGAAGAGGCAGGATGAAGTGATGTAGAGACGGTGGGGCAAACGGGAGTAGCAAGCGAGAAGAGACACGAGCATGGGGCAGAGGAGAGGGTAGGGAGACGAGCAGAAGGAGGCAGGGGAGCGAACAGGAGGCCGAATAAGCCTGAAATTCAAGATCTGCTTCGGAGGAGATCAAAACGATAGTGGATTATTTGCAGGGAAATGGTAGCATGTAACAAAACCTAACTGCAAGCGAAGAGGTGAATGAGAGGAATATTGTAAGTGAAGAGCAAAGCGGAGAGAAGATAGCAATGGGGTGGGAAGCGGCAACGCGAGCAATTGAAAGAAGGTGACAAAACCAGACTGCGAAAAAGATGGTTGCGCTTTGTAAAACTATGTAATGCACCACCAGATAGCATCAAATGTCTTCCGAGTTCACCCTTCAGTAGATATCACCGGAGGACAGTATTAATTTCTAGGTAATCGGTTAATAAGGGCCTTACTGCGCTCTCAAGCTTCTTCAAGCGAAACCGGCGTTGCGATGAACTTTCGAGCGAGGAAATGCTTGACGACTCGGGTTCGAAATCGGAGCTTAGGTTGACAGCAGGTCGAAGCGAGCTACGGGGACACCTCCTTGGTCGGTAACGTTGATAGGAAGAAGAGGCCTGCATGCGACGACGACGACTCCCGTGCAAGGGGGGTCGTACGAAGAGCTGAGTGGATTTAGGGAGCGTGAGAGATGTACCTCACTCAGCATTGAACGCGATGAATGATGAGTTAGTGGAGGGAGAGACGAAATGGGTATGGTGTGGTGGTAGCAAGCAGGAGACAACTCGGAGTTGGATCGGTATGATGGCGCGGGGCGGATGAAGCTCGACCACCAGGACGTCCGACGTGGAATGATATCCGTGCGATGACATCGAGGCGACACGATGTGGCAGGGACGTGATGCGAGCGGTCAGGGGGGATAGTAAATGTCGCCTTGCGATAAGGACTTTACGATAAAAAAACTCATGCCTAGCGATAAGGATCTCACGCCTTACGATATGTATTTCACGCCTTGCGATACGGATCTCACGCCTTGCGATACGGATCTCACGCCTTGCGATACGGATCTCACGCCTTGCGACGCGGATCTCACGCCTTGCGATACGGATCTCACGCCTTGCGATACGGATCCCACGCCTGCGATAGGGATCTCACGCCTTGCAGATCTCACGCCTAGCGAAGAGAATTTCACGCCTTCCGATGACTGCTCGCACAGTCGCAGGGCAAGGATTTTCATACATCCATCGAAACGAATTCTGGTTTCGGATTTTCAGTCGGTTGTTTTCGCCGAGGCCCACAGCAGGGGCAGGAGATATCCAGGCGAGAGTTTATCACGAGAAGAACGTGTGGTAACTCGCGATGAGCCAATCAGTCAGTATATCAGCATGCCAATCTGTACGCGGTAGTGTTCGTGGCCCAGATCATGGAAATTTCGAGATTTAGGAGATCGTAAAGCTAAGATGAAACCTTTCGTAGCCAACACACAATTAACACATACCGTATTTACACATTGACGACCAATGGGACTATCCAGGGCCAAAACAGACTGGACGTGCAGCACCGTCGTATCAAAATGGAAAGTAGTCCAAGCTGAAGGGCAACCTGGGTTTAGGGGGCGTGAACGAGAGTACCGGTGCACATGTTGTAAAAGGTAACCGAGTTAGATGCTAATTCCTGATTCGGGTTGGTCTGTCTGTACAAAATCTCACAGGCCTTCATACTTGCCATTAGTCTCCAAGTATCGCGTTAGGCAGGTGGGCACTGCTCACTTCCACATGAGGCAGCACATCCGCCACCAACTCCCTCGTCCTCCTCTCGTTATGCACTCGAACCTGCTTCAAGCTACGCAGCTTCCTCAGCAGCTTCACACCTTCCTTAGAAACCACAAAACCCGAGGAGTCCAGATATTCCAAGGCAGAAAACCACTGGATATGCCGCAAGCCAGCATCGGTGATCATCAACGGAAGCACGAGCAGCTTCAGCCTGGTCAACGGCCGTAGGTACTGCAACCCATCATCCCTCACCCCACAGCCAAAGAGGTACAACTCCTCAAGGCCCGTCAGCTGGCCCACAAGCAGCATTCCAGCACTTGTGACATTCCGGCACCAGTAGATCAGCAAAGTTTTGAGCGAAGAGAGACACGTGAGGTGCACCAGACCGGAATCAGACACACTGGTGCGGTTGAGATACAGAAGTTTCAGGGTTTTGCGAGCTGCCCCAATGCCATCCAACGCGCTGTCAGTTACTACAGTGTTGCCCTTGAGCTCCAAACTCTCCAGCTGCGGTAACGAGTAGAGGTACTTGATGCCTCTAGAGGTGACACCTGATGACGCGTTGATGTGCACGTGCTTGAGACAAGTCATCATGGACACATGGGCTAGGAGAAGGGCATCCGAGAGAGGGAAGACGCCTTTCAGATCCAGTGTTTCCCTTGCTGCTCGGATTCTCTGCACAGATGGCAGTGAGGAAAGGGAACTAATGGATTGGTGATGGGATTGCGGAGAAACACACAGGGAGCAGCTCCATCCATCTGTTGAAAGAAGCAGACATTTGCTCACTCACTCACGCACACATCAGCACACACGCAAATAGAAACACATATGCACACGCACATCACACTACACAAACACACAAACACACAAACACATACGCATATGCACATACAAAGACTTGGTCGCACGGACAAACACATGCACATACAAACACCTTGTGCACGTACTTGCCAAAACGTCTCGCCAGCCCCTTTGCTCTCCCTCGGCTGCTGCGCCGCATGAAAATTCCCATGACCCACCATTCGCTGCCGCTTCCCGGCTGCCACACCGTCCCACACCACTTCTTTCGATTGTTGGTTCCTCTTTTCGCTAATAACTACTTTCTCCTCATACATCTCCTCCTTCACTCATGGATTCTCCTCGCTTGCTTCTTCCTTCACATCTTCTCTCTCCTCTTGAACCTCCTCCTTCACACGTGGGTTCTCCTGGCCTGCCTCCTCCTTCACATCTGCTTTCTTCTCGTTCTTCCTTGAGAAACTATTTCTTTGCTCAGTCAACTCCCCTTTCGCCTCTTCCAGCTCCCTTTTCACCGCTTCCAATTCCCCTTTCACAGCTATCAACTCCCCTTTCATCCTAGTCAGCTCTCCCTCTCTCTCCTCCATTCGCCACCGCAGCTCTCTCAATGCTGCTGCGCTTTGCCTTTCATTCTCCACCATTTGCCTCCTTGTCTCCTCTAACTGTCGTGCAAGCTCGTGAATTACTTCCTCCATTGAATAATATTCCACAACTGTTTTCGCACGCTGTTTTTAAAACGTGCCAGGGACCCACTACTTTGCTGCGTTTCGTAAATGGTCAATGCGGCTCAATAGATCAACAGGGACCTGAAAACAAAAAGACAAAGAAAAGGAAACATAAGGCACGGCACAGTGGATAAAACATGGTACGGGTCAGTAAGGGAAGGTAAGAAAAGGTAAGAGAGAGTAGGACACGGTAAGGGACGTTGAAGGAGAGTATAAAAGGATTTAAACTTCACACATAGATCATTCTGACCAGCAAGGGGCACCAGTGGCGCCACAGGTTGCCCTTACCTTAAGTTTTAGAGGTTTTCAATCTAATGAAGTGGTGAGACAACTCCGTGCAAGGAGATCCGAGGTTAGTTAAACGTCTCTCAAAATCATCATCATCGCCATGACATGTGACAAGCGATTCCCACCCAAAACACCTGCAGCAAAACAATTATACCTGGCTTAACATACCCCTTAATGTATGCCGTAACACTTATCATTAAACACTGCCTTAGCACGTGCCTGAAGTTTCGCTTGTTCACTTCTAGCCGACGATGATGCTGTGCTAGGGGCAAGAGCGGAGAATCGACAGGTGCGGAGGGTGAACAGGGGGAACATCGCAAGGCATGAAGGCGCATGAACAGCGCGCTCAGGACAGATGCGTGCAGGGAAGAGGCGCGCGGGGAAGAGGCGCGCGGGGAAGTGGCACGTGGGGAAGAGGCGCGCGGGGAAGAGGCGCGCGGGGAAGTGGCACGTGGGGAAGAGGCGCGCAGGGAAGAGGCGCGCGAGGAAGAGGCGCCGCGCGTGGCAGAGGCGGGTGGGGAAGAGGCACGCGCGGAAGAAATTCGCAGGCTAGAGGCACGCATGCAGGGGCATGCAATCATGAAAAAGGAAATGGACGAACGAAGCCCCGGGTGAGAGGCGGATGGCGGGGATGCGGAACAGAGCGACGAGAGAAGCCGCTCCAAAGACAGCAAGCGCGGACACGATGGGGCTTCACGTTCGTTCGCGCGTTGAGATCGATGCTCGATATCTCTTTGGGGAGCAGACGAACGTGAGCTGTGGAAGCGTGATAGGGAAAGGGGAAAATGCGTCGGGACTCGGGAATGTCGTGGGAATCCCATCCAAGCGAAAAATGTGCAGGGGTTTCTGTACTCGGTACTGTATAGCGCTGTAAGTATTACTCATGTTCACTAGTGTCAGCTTTGTAATTTGTTTCTCTAAACCAATCATGCCATTCCAACAATTCTTGTGCAAATGTGTACCTATCCTAGATTGGGTGGGTTTTATTTAGAGTACAGGTAGGGTACAATAGATTCGTTTCTAGCATACTCATATGCCACTGTATGCGATGCCGAAGTCCGTTTGCGGATGTGGCTGTTCCGGGTCACAGTAATGAGGCGGCGTATAAAGAGACATCGGGTGTAGAGAATACATAGCGGCGGT